TTATTGCAATAATTTATAATAACTTTTGATTTCCTATCCTTTAAAGGCTTATACGCATTATATTGTATATATTACATACAACACATGGTATGAGAAGTATTAACTGTTTTTACTGCCAAAAGAGAACTGTGCGATAAAAAATATACAAATGAAGCTATTATATACCAAATACCAAATATGTAGTTGCACTGTATACTATGATGGCCAATTTTGCATCAACAAAGTGCCAAACAGAATCTCTTTTTTAACCCATTATATGCCATAAGTGTCTGTAGACACAAGCAGCAAATCTTCCCCACACGCCAAGCGTGTCTATAAAAGAAAAATGTTTTGCCGAAACCGGTTTGGCTCAGTGGATAGAGCGTCAGTCTGTGGACTGAAGGGTCCCAGATTCGATTCCGGTCAAGGGCATGTACATGAGTTGCGGGCACATCCCCGGTAGGAGGTGTGCAGGAGGCAGTTGGTCTATGTTTCTCACTCATCAATGTTTCTGACACCTTGTCCCTCTCCCTTTCTCTCTGTAAAAAATCAGTAAAATATATTTTTTAAAAGAAAGAAAGAAAGAAAGAAAGAAAGAAAGAAAGAAAGAAAGAAAGAAAGAAAGAAAGAAAGAAAGATGTTTTCTATAAGTGGCAGCCCTGACCAACTTTAAAATCATTTTTCGAGAGAGAATTTTCAGCTGAAAATATTCAAGAACACCTGACTCATGAGTAACATGTTTATTTTTATAACATTCATTGCAAATTGATTGTTTTAATTAAATTCAAAATATCGTGGCATGTGGCGATGGTTTCCATTTTGGACACGTAGCAGTTAACTGGTTAAAAAAATTCATGTCAGTAGAGGAAAGAGATGACTTTGGAGAAAGAGAAAATGGTTTTGGAAAAGACATAGCATGATGGGGCTTCTCTGATTAGAGGTCAGGGACAAGCTGGAATGGAGATCCTACCCACAGAGAAAACAGAAGCAAGAGATCTGCTGTGGTGCTAGCAAAGCACCCTCTGACCCAAAGCACTGTGCCTGTCACAGGAAACACAGAAGCAGCCAGCACCTCGTTTGAGGTGAAGGATGTCATCCTATACTTTTCCCTAGGTAGCTTGACGGCCTCCCTTTCCAGGTACGACGAATCAATAGCGCATACAACCTCTCCCCAGAGTAACTTTGATATTTCAAAAGGAAGTAGTTTCTCAAGTAGAATTCAAGTAACAAAATATGTATACCTACCCATATAGTTGGAGATAAGCACAAAAGAGCCTACCTTTAAAAAATAATTTGTTTTCCACAATAGCAAACACATAGTATAAAAATAAGACCGGGATCATATTCTGAATGAGTCATGCAAAATGATTGTGAAAGATTCATTTCTTCCTACAACATTCAAATCAATTTAAACTGTGAAAGGTATCTCAAAAATATAAAACAGCTAAAACCAGTTTGGCTCAGTGGATAGAGTGTCGGTCTGTAGACTGAAAGGTCCCAGGTTCGATTCCGGTCAAGGGCATGTACCTTGGTTGCGGGCACATCCCCAGTAGGGGGTGTGCAAGAGGCAGCTGGTCGATGTTTCTCTCTCATCGATGTTTCTCTCTATTCCTCTCTCTTCTTCTCTGTAAAAAATCAATAATATATATATATATATATATATATATATATATATATATATATATACACACACACACACACACACACATATATATATATAAAACAGGACATATATTTAAAAATACACAACACTTTTAAATAATAAAGGTAAATATAAATAATGTCTTCTAATATATAAGGAAACAAGAAACTAGAGGTTTCATTTATTTTCTAAAATTAAGGATTTTCTCATATCCTTTAGGTTAGAGAATAAACAAATGACTGATTCTCCACTCTTTGAAAATTTATAATGAATAAAATCATTACTTCTTTTAAAAATTACCTTAAAATTGAGATTAAGGGTTATACAAACCATGAATATATTTTATATGTACACACATACCGTGTTTCCCCAAAAATAAGACCTAGCGCATGGAAAGATAAGACATTCCCTGAAAATAAGACTTAGCGCAACTTTGGAAGAAAAAATTAATATAAGACACTGTCTTATTTTCGGGGAAACAGGGTATTATAGTATATATGCACATCAAACTTTTATAACTATAAAATATTTTAATTATGTTATTCTTTCTATTATCAGGAAGCTATATTAACCTGGAAACTAATTCCTGACATATATGGATAATTCTATCTATTAGGTCTCTCACAGTATTAGAAACTTTTTTCCTTATCCTAAACATCCCGCAGTATACTTACTATCAATATACTACTATGGTGATGACTTAGGAATTGATATTCTTAAATAGAACTTTCTCTCTATATCAGTATTAACAAGGTCAAAAATATTCCTCTATGTGAAGCTAGAAGTATAAAAATTCAACTATTTAAAACAAAAAAGCAAATAAACTAAAAAAATGATCAGAAAAATCTATTTTTTATATTAATCAGTTCCTGAATACAGTAAATATATAAAACAAATCAAATGGAAATATTTAGACATATGTCTTTATATGTTTATATGATGAAAGCTTACAGTTATTTATTATTCAAGTTATTAATTGACGCATGTTGAGCAGTGAGACAGAATTATGATGTGGCGCCCTCTGCTGGGTTTTCACAAGCTCAACCTAAAATCACTATTAATGTAAAATCAAATACTTGAGTGATTAATTTTTTTTTAATTTGTGAAAATTTACTTTTTTAATCCTTGATCATTTTAAGCCTTGACAAATATTATATAAAAATTATAATCAATCCTTACTTTATTGTAACCAATTTTTCATTAAACAAAATATCAGTACAGATTTTTCTTTTAAAATAAAAAGAGTGTAATATAAAAGTTACACCAAATAACATGTTTTGACAGGTCTTATTTTTGTCATCACTTTTATCAGTTGGAATATTAAGGTTTTGAAGGCCACATTTATGACAAGACAATATATACAGGTTTTGAAGTCCACATTTGTGGCAAGACATTTTAACAAATTACTATTTTGGTCATTTCTCTTTCCTGCCTTGTAAGTTCTATCAAAATAATTATTTTAAAACACCAGAATAACTCTTAATATTATCTTCATTATTAGAAAAATTTTAGAGACGCTCATCACTGATAATAATAAATTCTATAGTGTCAACTATGAAAATGCAACATATACTACACACTTTCTATATATTATTTTCAGTTCTAAGAGTTTTTTTTTTAAATTGTGGCTCATGGAAATTATATAAATTGCTCAAGATGAATTTCAGAACAAAGATTCAAATGTAAATAGGTCTCATTCCATAGACTCAAATCTTACTACCAAACAAAGAAAGCAGTTAAAAAATATTTTCAACATGAAATTTCTCCATTTGTCAATGCAGCAAATGGAGTGCATAGTCTACGCAGAAAAATGAGGGTTTGAGGGGTGGGGGGCAGCTGATAGGGAAAAAAATGTTGGAACAGTGTAAGGCAGCTAATCAATATATAAAGTAATAGCTTGGACCCCTAGGAAAATATTTTTGTTTTACATAATGCTGCCAGCTAGTGGCCCTGTTTTATACTGAGTCACAGGGAACAATACACTACTGAATCAAAATTCCCATATTTTTAATATATGTTTTATTAATTTCAGAGAAGGAGAGAGAGACAGAAACATCAATGATGACAGAGAACCATTGATCGGCTGCCTCCTGCAGGGCCCCACTGGGGATCGAGCCGCCACCTGGGCACGTGCCCTTGGCTGGGATTGAACCTGGGAACCTTTAGTCCACAGGTCAACGCTCTATCCACTGAGCCAAACCGGCGAGGGCAAAATTTCCATATTTAACACTCTCCAATCATGTTCCTAGATGCATAAGCCTGACTTAATGTTATTTTACATTACTCCAGAATTAAAGGAGAATGCCTCCCCAACTACCATTAGCATCCCATTGGCCAGACCTTGCCTAAAACCCCAATAAAAATGTGAGATATGCCTAAATAGGAAACAATTCAGGAAGTGCCAACATGTAGAAACTAAAAGATATCTATGAAAAATAAACTTACATTATTTTAAATATTTTAGGATTCTTGAGGATATTTCTAAATTCCTTAGTGACAAAATGCATATTTTGCTACACATAAAAAGTTTTCTATAATGTGGTGCATAGAATAAAACATTATTCTATGCAGACCTAAAATTAGGGAACATTTAATAAAGCAATACTATTAGCAAAGGAAATTGTTTTAGTTCAGACAGTAAGTAGTTACAGTTCTAAAATTTCCTTTGAGAAAAAAGGTATTTGAGTACAATTTTTACATTACAACTGTCATACCACATTGATAATTCATTATCTTAAAAGAAATATCCTATGCAATACACATAAAGGAGTACCTAGCTTCTATCATGGTATGCTATTTAGTGCAAGGATATAAAGATATTCTTTTTTTATTTCTTTAATCATATGACTTTATAATGATTTAAATGGTTTTCTCAATTGAGAAATCATGACTTTCAGGCTTAGATGGAAAAAAACACACAATATATTCTATAATATTATAATACTGCATAAAACAAAAACATTCTGGTATTAAAGCATATTAACAGCAAGGGAAAATGTTCTGGTTGCATTCTGTAGTGAAAGAAAAGAAGCAGGAAGTGGAAAAGAAAGCACCCAAACCACAACAAAGAAGAGACAGCCCCTTTGTTGGATTAACTGAGAAGGTCAAAACGAAAAGAAGAAACAAAGGGGATACTGGAGAGTCCAGTACTGGAGAGTATTCCTCTGACCTACATTCTCTCTCACACACACAACTGCCAAGTGTAAAACTGCCTCGTCCCACTTAGTAGGCGCATTGTATAGGAAGCTCATTTTGCAGCTAAAAACTGTTTATTATACACACATTCGTCAGTATAATAAACATTAGTGAGAACAAACACCAATTATAAATTCACTTTTTAATACACAAAATATTTCTACATAGTGATCATATAACTTACAAACATTTCCTGTATTGTCAAAGCTGGTGAGAACATCTTCAATATTCAAAGATCCACTATTATGCCTAGAAAGGAATAAAACATTTTCTTTAATGATTCTGGAACATTAAGATTTGCTTTAAAAAAAAAAGTGAGACTGCATTGCGATACATCCAATACTCACAAACCTTTCCGTATTGTATTTTTAAAATATGTCTGCCCACTAGAGGGAGAAGGAAAAGAAACAACAGAGTATAGTAGTCCTCCTAATATTTAATGAAATAACATTTCCTGATGCTTAATCTGCATTTTAAAGTACTAATATTTTTATTGTTGTTTTAGTTATATAAAGGTGGGATTAATTATTAACCTTTTTTTTTAATCCTCACCCTAAGATATTTTTCCATTGATTTTTAGAGAGAGGGAAAGACTGAGAGAAATATCGATGTGAGAAAAACACATCTATTGGTTGTCTCCTGCATGAGCTCCATCCAGGACACAGGTTAGGGTGGAACCTGCAACCAAGGTACGTGCCCTGATTGGAATCAAACTCTGGTATCCTTTGGTCCACAGACCGATGCTCTCTCCACTGAGCCAAACTGGCTGGGGCAATTAATTACCTCTTTAAAGCTAACAAAACCATACACTTGGAGAATCTAAAAAGAAAAATAAGCAATCAAACTCCAGAACCTCAACAATACATAAATGTCCTTTTTAACAGCCCAAAGAATTCAGTCACAAGGAACTAACCAACCTTCAGGTCTGCACATTCCATCTATAGGGAATTATGTCAGAGGGCAAATCCTTTGTATCTTTTGCTCACTAATCTTAATTCCACTCCCTTTAATTCTAATCTCTCGTCACTTGAAAACCCTTTATATATTTAATTTAATTACTAACATTTTATTCATCCTTATAAAAGATACTATTCTTCATATACAAATGGACCCAACAGGCAAAATAAATAGAGTTTGAGTTACTTTTCCAAGAGTGGTAAAATATTGGTGCTAATGTAATCTTCTATATACTACTCTATATACCTTAAACCTATAATTCTTTAAGGTGTTATAACAAAATACAATAAACATCTACTAATAAAAGAAGATGCAAATTGACCGTACCTTCACAATGCCCACCAGCCAATCAGGAATATGCAAATTAACCCAACAAAGATGGTGGGTTAATTTGCATACATCGGCGCTGAGAGGCCGGGGACATTCCACACTGTCCCAGCCACTCAGGGCCTCTGGGCAGTGTAGGAAGGCGGAAAGGCAGCTCCAGCCGGAGCGAAGGCGGTGTCGGCAGCCATGGGAAGGAAGGCCCATTCTGGCAGGAATTTTTGTGCATCAGGCCCCTAGTTTATAATAAAACTTACCTCAACAACACTACTTTAATCTTGTCATTAAACCTTATCATAAATGATATAGAATATTATGAAATGAATTGTATCTTTTCCAAAATTGATTTGTTGAATTTCTAAACCCTGGTACCTCAAAATTTGGGAGATTGGGCCTTAAAGAGGTAATTAAATTAAACTGGGATCATTAGGGTGGGCCCTAATCCATTATGACTTGTGTCCTTATTTAAAAGGGAGATTAGAACACAGACAACAGGGCACGTGCACAGAGGAACTACTGAAGAGACAGCAAGAGGGCAGCCAACGCGAGTTAAGGAGAGAGGCCAGGAAGGAAACCAAACCTGCAAGCTCTTGATCTCAGATTTCTAGACCCAAAACTGAGAAAATAAATGTGTTGTTTAAACCATCCAGTCTGCAGTGTTTAGTTTTAGGATCCCTAGAAAACTAATGCATGTAGTAAGAGAATACATGTAAACTGTATTACCTTTAAAAAAAAAAAAAAAAAAAAAAAACTTCACTTTTATCACAGCGACCCAGTTCTTTGATAGAGTGACTAAGTGAAAATGCAAAAAGTTATTTGCCAAATAAGCCTTGGGCTCAACAAAATCATATTTTAAGGTAATGAAGTTACCAACCACAAATCAAACTTTCAACACCATAACACAATGATTCTGTATCTTCTCTGTGCAAGCAAGCTGAGGTTTACACTAACATGGAAAACCACACTTGAGACAGGAGAGAAAACAATGTATTGACCATCTAAAATACAAGATGAAGCCATTAAAATCATCAGCAATAGCATGAAACTCAAAATCACTTTTTCCTAAATATAAGAGCCATAATATATGGTTCCTTAAGCCCAGCCAGCATGGCTCAGCGGTTGAGCATTGATCTATGAACCAGGAGGTTCAATTCCATTAGATTCCCGGTCAGGGCATATGCCCAGGTTTCGGGCTTGATCCCCAGTGTGGAGCATGTAGGAGGCAACCAATCAATGATTCTCTCATCACTGATGTTTCTCTCTCCCCCCCCCTCTCTCTCCCTCTCTCTCTCCCTCTCTCTCTCTCTCTCTGTCTCTCTCTCTCTCTCTCTCTGAAATTAATAAAAAATATATATATAATTTTTAACTGGCTGCTAGGTTATGTTTCGTTTTGTTTGAATTTGAGCCCAGTTGGCCACCAACAGCCCTTTTTAGTATCTTCTTTCTCAGGATTCACACTACTAACAATAAAACTACTTTTTAAATATAACTTCAGTGTTCATATTTGCTTCAAATGCCAGCCTTGCCAAGCTTTACATGGGCATCTATAATACCCACATATATAAGGATGCCATACATCTAATATCATAAATATACCATTCCCATCGCTATTTTTTATCTACTGAGCATTCACAGGATACTTACTAAATTCAGTGGGGTGAGAATTTGCTTTACTTTTTTCCTTTCCCCAGAGAAACAATATAATCTTACTGCAGTGTATTTGTTTTACTAGAAAGATGCATCACAAAGACAAAGTCATTCTTGACTTCTTGCCCACTCTAAGCTCTTAGGACAAGCCGAAAGCCACGAGTTTTCTAATTCAGCAATTACCATAGCAACAGGAGTCTTATTCATCAAGAAAGGAGGACAGTTAAGCCTCTCAGCTTTTTCTATACCCAAGATGTGTATATATTTATAAATGAATATTTCAAGCAATTCTATGGTTCCAAATATAATGGAAGTATTTTAAAGCTTTCAGAATATATACATTCCTACTACACTAAAAATAAGTTGACATATGGGGGGAGTGGGGAACAATTTCTAGTATCCATACAGTAAATTCTGTATGAAAACAGATTCCAGCTTATAAATCTGGGAGAAAGAATTTTTAATGGAAGATTTTTAGTATAAACATCCCCTATTATATATTCGTTTCCTATAGATGTGTCTATCTAATAGCAAGGGCCTCTTCTATAAAGTTCTATTATAAGAAATAAAGCACCAGAAAGACAAGAAAAATTTACCAAGGAATAAAATACACGTCACGTCCTGAAATTTGATTTCCTAATTCTCAACCCTCACTTTGGAACAAAGAGTCGACCATTCCAGGTATATAGAAAAGACAATAGATCTTGGGGATTTCATAACCTAATATTTACATTGTCCAGACTTTTGCTTCTGATGAAAAGTTAACAAGGGAAATTCTTTATTCTTTCATTTTAAGAATCACCATGTAAAGATATCAGAAAATAATGGTCAAAATTTTAATGTGGACCACTGCTTATATACCTTTTAATAGTATAAAAAAGATACACCTATGTATTTTGAATTCAAAAATATCTTAATTATCTAAGTATTTACCCTCTTGGAATATTGATTTCAAGTCCAGTAAAAGTTTACAAAAACAAACAAAAAATTTAAAGAAACAGAAATCAATATGCAGGAAAATTTTAAGAAGGATAAGACTAATAAAAAGTATTGATAAGTATTAATCACCATGTACTAGTATTCATCATCTGTTAAACTGTGGCAGGTGATCTTAGGTGATAAGAACTAAAGATGCGAAAATGGGGTTTATATTTATGATCTGTGAGGAATAAGGCAACCCAAATGCTCAGCCCATTATTAGAACCCAAAAGCAAATCCACGTTATAACATTTATTGATCACTATTCCTCTCCAGAGAGACTGTGGTTTTCTCAGTAGCTGCTGATGATTATGCCTTATACTTGCTGACTGCTATATCTTTTCTAGTGCCTTTGCCCTCATCGGGAATGATTTCTTCCATTCTCCCAGAATGTTCATATACTTCCAGATCCATTTTAAACTGCTGTTCCTCAAGGCCTTCAAAAATCACTCCTACCCTAAACTCCTAATATGCATGAACTTTTCCACTCATTTGGTAATTAGTTATGCATTGCCTGGTGATAACTCTTAGAATAGATGTTTAACTTAACTTTCCTTCTTATTTAACTATTATTAAAAAAAAATAGTAATTCACCTGAGGATATTTTTACCATTGATTTTTAGAATAGAAAGAAGGAAGGGAAGGAATGGATGGAGGAAGAGAGAAACACGGATGTGTTGCCTCCCACACACACCTCGATCAGGCTGCAAAACGAACCTGCAACCCAAGTCTGTGTCCTTGACTGGGAATTGAACCATGACTCAGGCCAATACTCTACCACTGAGTCACACTGGCCATGGCTTAATTATTTTTTATTATTTCACTTTTCACCTATTTCAGCTCCTTGAGGATAATATATCTTATATTTCTTTTTGTTATCTACACAGAAGGTACTAATAAATATTTATTGATTTGAATTTATTTTAAATTATTCATCACGTTTTTTTCAATCATTCCATAGTGTTGAAACCAACGTGAACAATATTGGCAATGGAATGGAATGAAGTATTCTTGTAAGAAATCCTCCCCTAAGCAATGTCAGTAATTTTTGTTGCAATTTCCTATATAGTAACAGAATTATGGAATAAGAAATGAAATACTCAGAATAATCAATGAGGAAATTGGTTTTACTAGGCCTCAATCCTTTCATCTGGAAAATGAATAAATAGATGCATGACTGCCTCCTAAGAGGCCAGATGTGTAGAGTTAAGCTGGGTGAAAGGTACCTGGAGCTCCTTGTACTATTTTTGCAACTTCCTGAGAGTCTGTAATTATTTCAAAATAAAACTGTTTAAAAGTACAGGCTGTGGAACCAGACCACCAGGGTTTGAGTAGAAGCATAAGCAATCGAATTATTTAACTTCTCTGGGCCTTACTTTCATCTATAAAATTAGGATAATGACAGTATTTACTTTATAAGGTGTTATGTGGATTAAATAAGCTAATACATGTAAACCACTCACCACAGTGCTTGTCACATAGTAGACACTCAATAGTCAGCCATTATTAATGCTGTTAGAATTTTTTTAAATGCATTCTAAGATCACATTCAGTTCTAGAGTTGTGTTGAAGTTATTCGGGCAAATATTTTTTAATCCTCATCAGAGGATACTTTTTCATTGATTTTAGAGAGAATGGAAGAGAGAGGGAAAAACAGAGAGAAACACCCATGTGAGAGAAACACATCTATTGGTTGCCTCCTGAATGTGCCCTGACCAGGGCCCAGGCCAGGGAGCAGCCTGCTACCAAGGTACCTGCCCTTGACAGGAAACGAACCCAGGACTCTTCGATCTGCAGGCTGATGTTCTATCCACTGAGCCAAACAGGGTAGGACAAGTTTTTAACTCAGTCACCTCTTTTCTCTCCATAAAGTAGGATTAAATGTCATATTTATATAGACATACCTGTATTTATTTTTCCAAAACTGAATATATCACAACCTATTGGAGAGAAGTCTCAGTTTATTAATACATTCGAGCCTGGCTTCCAGCTGCTAGTACATCCAGGTCATCTCTATCCACGACTTATTTCAAAAGTTCTCAAGAATAACAGATGCCACATGCTCGCTGGCAATGCTTTCCAGGGCGTTGCAGACATCAGGAAATTATATTTGGCACATTTATTGCCTCTTGTCATCAGTGGATGTAAAAGATATGTCTTAGAACTTTGTACCTGAAGACCCCTACTGAATCACTCTGCTTTTCCCTCTCTTTAATTTCCTCATACGTACTATCTTCCAGTGGTTTATCTTCATTTCTATTTCCCAGAGTTATTGTAAGGATTACATGAATTAGAATACATCAAAGCACCACCCTCTATATCTGGCTCATACTAAGCATATAATGCATTTTTCTTTCTTTCTTAACCAAGGACCAAACTAAGTATCTCCATTAGAATGTGAGGCAATTGAGGTGTTCTAATTAGAATCTCATAAAGAATGTATAGGCAAGCTAACTAACCCAAAAGTTCTTATCTTTCATTTGAAGTTTTCAAAAACAGTTCCTAGTTGTTCGTCCCTGCTGAGCCCAGTCAATTTTTATCAAAATCCCAAATTTTAGCTATTATGGTGTCTCTAAAGCTTAAATAGTTTAAATTAAAATAGTTCAAGAAATCCTATATAATAAAAGGGTAATATGCAAATTAACCCTAAGAGTGGAATGACTAGTGACACACACTGACCACCAGGGGGCAGATGCTCAGTGCTAGAGCTGCCCCCTGGTGGTCAGTGCGCTCCCACAGGTGGAGCTCCTCTCAGTCACAGTGAGAGGGCAAAGGCTGGGCTGAGGGACCCTCCCCCCCACAGAGTGCACAAATTTTCGTGCACTGGGCCTCTAATATCTATAATAATAAAAGTGTAATATGCTAATTAGACCAGACGTCCTTCCTGCGAGGGAAGCCTGGGTTGTGGGTGCCTTCTGGTGGCTGGAGGGAAGCCTGGGTCCCGAGTGCCAGAGGGAAGCCAGTGCCCAGTAGCCGGGAGAAGGAAGGCCTACTCTTGCACGAATTTTGTGCATCGAGCCTCTAATATACTATAAATAGACATCCTTTGGAGAACTTTTTTTCTTAAAAGTATTTTTAGCCTTACCAAAACCTTATTCAGTCACATTTTTGCTTAAAATGTTTTTTGTTCTTCTTATAGTTATTGTAAATGTGCTCCTCCCTCCCTTTCAAAATGTGAAATCTTATTTAAAAAGGGGACATAGTTTATATCAAACACCTAAAGCAATATTGCAACATGCTAGATTATAACTGGGAGAGAAAAGTAATTCAATAAAAAATAGTATCTTGCTACTTTAGTTTGCAACTATGTCTGATTTTTAAAGTCAGAACAGTCTGCGTGCTTCTCACAATATCAGTGTGTTCAGTTGAATTCTCTCCTCCTATTCTTAAGACTCTATTCTGGAAATGACAAAACATAAATGGGATAAATACCAAAGCTTGATTTCTTTAGATAACTACTACTTGAAGAGTAGCTTAGAAAAATTCTGTGTTCACTTTCAGCCTTCCTTGCCTCACAAAGAACTTGGCTTTTTGTCATAATCAAATGCTGTGAGAGAATGGTTAAATGAACCCTTTGATTTACACCACAGTTTATCCTCAAATGTCACTACATTTTTGAAAATTTTTTCTTATTTCTGATAATACAGCAAGAACAAGTTGAAGCAGCAGGAATTCCTAACACAAAGTTAGGAAACATAATTTCTGATAAAGATTGCTTGCAAACTCAATAGAATGAACAATGGGGTTATTATTGTTTCTCTTTTATAAGAGGGAAATGCCTTTTTTTTTTTTTTCTTTTTTTTTTTTTCAAATCCTCACCCAAAGACATGCTTCGAAGGAGAGAGGAAAGGAGGCAAGGAGGGACATTGATGTGAAAGAGAAACAACAATTGGCTACCTTCTACATGCTCCCCAACTGGGAATCAAACCTGAAACCCAGGCATGTGTCCTGACTTGGAATTAAACCAGCAACCTTTTGGTTCACAGGACGACGCTCAACCAACTGAGTCACTCTGGCCAGGTGAAAAAGGCTTTTTATTTTATCCATAGATGGTTAATTAGTTTATTTGAAAAAAAAGGCTTTTTTGAACAAAATCTTAACTGTGCTGTTTACCTTAAGGAAATACTGTATTCAGGGAAGAAGACACTTGTATATTGGACCCATGCACCAAATTCCTCTTCAGTTTCCCTTTCCTTGGCTTCTGTTACTGAAAACAGATTAAATGATTCAAATCTTCTTACAGATACATGTCGTAGACAACCATCCAGGTGTTTTTGCTTCAGGACCTTTGAAATAAAACCAAAGATTGTGATCATACTATATAAACATAAATTCAGTGTACATCACCAGGTCGTGTACGTAAGCAATAGCTAAGCCTCTCCTCAGGGTGGCAGAGCTTTGAATGTGAATCCCTTATCTGCAGGCAAATAAAACTACTAACAACAACCACATCCACTGTGTTTAGTTATAAAATGGCAGGAACTGTACAGGTTCGAGCAAGAGTAGGCTTACAGTTGTTCGTATGGAAAATAATATAATAATTAATAAATAATACCAAAATAAACTGTTTTGCATATTCACAGCTATAAACCCACTTTTGCCACACCCTGTATAAGATGAACCTAAAACATCATACACAAGAAAACAAGAAGGCCATACAAAATTAAGGGTTAGCCGAAACCAGTATGGCTCAGTGGATAGAGCGTCAGCCTTCAGACTGAAGGGTTCCAGGTTCGATTCTGGTCAAGGGCATGTACATTGGTTGTGGGCACATACCCAGTAGGGGGTGTGCAGGAGGCAGCTGATCGATGTTTCTCTCTCATGCATATTTCAAATGGCAGGGGAGGGAAAGCAACCAAAGGACTTATATGCATGCATATTAGCATAACCAATGGTCACAGACACTGGGGCAATGGAGGCTTTTCCAGGGTGGGAATGGCTGAGGGGTGGAGAAAAAGAAAATATTAAAAAAAAAAAAAAAAAAAAAAAAAAAAAAAAAAAAAAAGAAAAGAAAAGAAAAGAATCAAGTACTTCTCATCTTTCCTATATGAACTGGGGAAATTTCTCTTTATGGTAGTTTTTCAAGTAATAATGAAGAAGGGATAACAGAATTAGAATATCACCATTTCAACCCACTCCTCATGAATTCATGAACCTAAGTAAACCATCACCAAAAAAGAGAAATAACTAGACATCACTGTGATTACTGATAATAACTGTAAGAGAACGTATACAACACCATCATCTTGACCAACCAAACCAAACAAACAAACAAAAAAACCATCAAATCTGAATCTTTTTCCCTTGCCCCCTTCTAAGAAATGGTATATTTCTCTGCCCCTTGACCTTAGGCTTAGCCAAGTATCTTACTTTAGTCAACAGGATGTTAGCAGTAGCTTAAAATGTGTTTCAGTGGTTAGGTTTGCTCTCTTATACCAACTGGTCCAAGGATTAGAACCATGTGGACCAAGAATGTAGCACAGAGCCCCTCAGCTGATCACAGCCTATATGAGATAACTCCCAATTGGCCTACATATGCACAAGCAGAATAAATGGTTGTTGATGTATGCCACTGTAATGTTGTAGCTATTTGTTACTCAGCAATAGCTAGCTAATGCAATACACTGAGGACTAGGTGCTGTGGACCACTTAAAGACTTTCTTTACTCTAAGGTTTTCCACAACAATTGACAATATCTACTAAAAGCCAACTAGCCAGGCCCTGTGCTAGGTGTAGAGGATGGAGATTCATAAAATATCTTTTCCCAGAGAAAATTCCCATTCTTGTGAGAAAGATGGACTCTGATCAAATGATCATAAAGTAATGTGATTTGGGGTTCACCAGAAGTGAACGAACTAAAGGTCTCAGTCCAGCTGAGTTAGTCTGCGCTAAAAGATGAGATTGAAATGGAGGCCTGAAGGATAAACATTCATTCATCAAGTAGAGAAGAAGATAAAGACTTTATGCAGAGGGCAGGTGTGCAGTGAAACATTGAATGTCAAAGCCTGCGGGGAGTTCAAGTGGCAGTCATAGCTGAAACTTCTCTCATGTACACAGCAATTCAGAATGAACACCAGTGCTGGTCAACCAGAGTTTTTCCTATACTAAGAATACAGAAGTCATCACAATAAGATTAACTTAAGGCCCTAGATTACTACTTTCATAATTAGACTTTAACTGATGTTTACTTCACTACAGAAAGCTCCCATGATAATGATGTAAGAAGGACATTCACTTTATTATCCTACTAGAGGCCCAGTGCACAAAATTTGTGCACAGGTAGCATCCCTAGTCCTGGCCAGCAATCAGGCCGATATGTGGGGTGACCAGCAGGATGATGGGGGGGAAGCCCACTGGCACCCACCTTGGCTGGCCTGGTGCAGCTCACTTGCCAGCCCCGCCCTCTGCCATCACCGGTCACGGCCTATGGACTGGGGGCAGCTCCTGCTTTGAGCAGGTCATAGACACCGTCTTTCTGCTGTTTGGTCGATTAGCATATTAGGCTTTTATTATATAGGAGGATTTATAACATTATTAGCAAAACCAGCTTTGGGAAGACTTCCAATGCATCAACAAAGAAACACTCTTCGAGTTATGTCATGACAGCACTGGAAGGCCACCATATGCAAAGGTGACTTTGCAAACAAAATAAACTCCAGCCAAGACCGGTTTGGCTCAATGGATAGAGCGTCGGCTTGGGGACTGAAGGGTCCCGGGTTCGATTCTGGTCCAGGGCATGTACCTGGGTTGCAGGCATATCCCCGGTAGGGGCTGTGCAGGGGGCAGCTGATCGATGACTCTCTCTCATCGATGTTTCTAACTCTCTGTCTCCCTCCCTTCTTCTCTGTACAAAATCAATAAAATATATATTTTTTAAAAAAATAAATAAATAAACCCCAAAGTCCTAACCGCACCATCTCCGGTAAAGTAAGTGGCAAGAGCTGGGAAAAACTCTTCTGGGAAGACGTCAGAAATGGATAATGAACAACATAAACTGATGAACAAAAACAGACCCAGAGAAAGAGAAGCAGCGATCAGACTCTCAAACTTCAGAGGGAAGGTAGGCGAGGGAGGGAATAAGGGGGAGAGATCAACCAAAGGACTTGTGTGCATGCATATGGGCCTAGCCAGTGGCCAAGGACAACAGGGGGGTGGGGACATATGTGGGGAGGGGTTGGGATGGGAATGGGGGGGATGAGGACAATTATGTGATAGCATAATCAATTAAGAAAAAAGCAAGAAAAAAGAAATGGGAAGTGTCTGCTGGAGTCCAGTTTTCAGCAGGCAGCCTCAGGCAGAGGCACAACAATAAACAGCCTTCACTTCCAGCAGTCTGTAAAGCGTCAGTGATGTCCCATGGGCACTGACTAATCAGCACCCTGGGCTGAAGTTAGGAGCCCATAGCAGCAACTTTGCAATATGAGCAGTACGAGAAGATAACCGCCAGGAAGCAAACTCTTCCACCTGCGACAGCCAGAAAGAACCTCGTCCATCTCCTCACCCTACAAGATGCGCACGTAACTTGCACACCCCAAAGAGGAGACGGGCACGGAAGGAACCGGGGTGACGCGTGCCACCGCCAAGTCCCAACACCGTCAACCGCGCTGGTGCCCACGACAGGGGCCGGACCTGGGGCTGGAACCCGACTGGGAGGTAAGCAGCAAGAAGACACCTGGGGAAAGGAAATTAAACAGACGCGGGAAAGAAAAGACTGGGGCCGGGACAGACCCGGGCCGGTGGTCCTGCCCATCCGATCCGCGTGCAGGGAGACGCAGACAGGTGTCTAGAACGGGACTGTCCACTTCGCTCGGAGTTTCCCTAAAACTCGGGGGGAGGGGGGAGGGCGCTGCCCCTTCCCGCACCCCCCCGACCTGGCGCCCCTCCGTTGGTGGTGGGATCCTTCTAGGAGAAGCAAGAAGACACTTCTGGGCTGGCTCCGGACGACACTGTGAGGGGGGAAGACCTGCCGATCGCACGCCCGATCCACCGAGGGGAAGGGGCCCCGCGCCCAGGTGAGGCGGGCGGGCGGGCTCTGCCTTACCTGCCGCAGGAGCCTCCACCGGGCGGCTCCCAAGCGCGAGGAGACCGCGGGGCCCGGGGCCGCGCCGCCGCCCCACGCCGTGCCCTCGCCCGAGGCGCGCTCAGCCTCCCCGGCCCGGGCGTCTGGGACTCGAGATTCCATCCCGCAGGTGCCACCTCCACACCAGCGGCTGCCAGCACGACTCTCCCCTGCCAGGACCTGCCCACGTCTTCCCTGTCAGGACCCGTGACGCCGATGGGCCCGCCCACTGCCCGGAGGCTCCTAGGGACCCGCACTTCCGGTTTCCGCGTCGCCTTGGCAACCAGGCCCGCACTGGTCGCCCTGTCATTGCACCATTTTCCCGGCGGCCATGTTGAGTGAGGGCGGCGCGGGCTGGCGAGGGAGTCGTGGCAGAGCTAGTAGGAAGCGGCCCCTGTTGGTGTGCTTCTCCCCTGCCGCATCTCGAGCTTGGAACGCTAGCAACGAGCCAGAAGGCTTGTCTTTTTTCGCCGGTGGTAGAGCCCAGGAGACGGCAAAAAAAAAAGCCGCCTTTGCCCACAGTAAAGATGGCGGATTCCGCGTCGCGCACGTGCTAGGCCGCGGGGGTGCGTCGGCGGCGTGCTGCAAAGCAGCGCTGGGCGGCTCGGGGCAGGCTGCGGTCTTGCGGGCTGGAGCGCGCAGACCTCGCCGGACGCGCTCGAGGTCGCACCCTCGCTCCTTCCCAAGAGCTTCGGGCCGTTGGGCGGCCTGCCTGCCCTCGTGCCGGCGTCCAGAGTCAGACGGCCTTTGCATTTGCGTAGGTATGGGTAGCGTATGCTGGGGGGTCTCTCCCCCTTTTCCATCCCTCCCCCCCATCTCCCCTGCCCAACACACACACACACACACACACACACACACACACACACAGCCATCCCTTAGCCCCTTGGTCCTGGCTTTTTGGCCGCGTCCCTTCACTGCCTGGCACGCGGGGCACTACTCCCTCTCGCACTCAAATCGCCACCTCATCCCCGGGGTGGAGAGTTGCACCGGGAAAACGCAGTTTTCTCCCGGGAACACCCATTCATCGGCCCCACCCCCATCCCCGTCCTTGCCTAGTGTCTTCTCCCTGCGGATGGAAGGTGGGTGGATTGAGGCTGCTGCCCGCATGGATGTAGTGGTTTAGGTGGTTTGTTTATTTCTACTTATTTTGCTACGGATCCCCTGTTCTCACTCGCCCGTTATTCTGCTGCGACACAGAGACGGGGGGAGGCGGGGGCGTTGGCCTGGCAGCGCATCCGAGCAGGAGCGAAACTGACGCAGTCTGGTGCCTTTGGCAACCGAGGGGCCTGTGGCTTACTGCATGGTGGCATTCCGCACTGTGCAGCATACCTACGTGTTTCCTGTCCTAATGGTAGTGGTCATCATGTAACTAAGGTCTTAGCAGGCACTATACTAAGGTCTTAGCATAAATGGCCTCATCTTATTCTTGCATCAATTCCATAGGGTGAATGGTGCCCTTGTCTCAGTTTTGCAGATGAAGAAACTGAGGCACAGGTAGAAAGTGCAGGAGTGAAGGCCGGAACCCAACCCTCTCTGTGAACTACTTGCTAGTTTTAATTACCTTGATAAGTTAGTAAGGACCAACTTCCCAAACAAATCAGAGATGCTCTCACATTTTGTTGGTGCATCCTGAAGGACTTTTGTTTGTTTAGCTAACTAGCTTTCTAATAGTAAAGTCCATGGTTATGTCCAGTTGGTCCCAAGATTTGGAGCCAAATCATGTTGGGCTTTTTGTTCTACTACTTACTCCAAGTCACCTGGGGCAATTGCTTAAACTTCCCAGAGCCACAGTTTGCTCTCTTGTAAAATATGCACAATGATGTTATAATAGCTACTCTATCAGGCCCTTATAGAAAATCATAGTCATTTTGCCTTTTAAAAACCCTCAGAGTCCCAGAGAGGCCCCCATTAAACTCCATGTACTTATTTGCAAATTTTTATTTTGTTTTTTGTTTCGTTGTGTGTGTGTTTTGTGTTTTTGTTATGTGTTGTTGTTTTGTTTTTTAGTTTTCCCCTATGTGTACCAGAATCAGTGCTGCATGGTTTGAACGTGATAGGACTGACTTTACAAATGAAACATTTCTGTCACACCTGCCAAGAAGTATGATTTGAATGAAACTTTAACTTATACACATTTTCAGATATTTTTTAACCTGAGTTCTCAGCTGTCTGCAGTTATTCCTTACCCTCTAGGGTTGTATGACCCTGAAGGGGGGGATAAAATCTGCGGGTTTTAGGTACTGTATAATCAGACCTATGAAATCACTTGTGCTGGCAGCCCCAAAGCAACCATAAACCAGGGACTTTGTTATCATGCAGCAGAAGAGCAAATTGTTTCTCCAAGCTTTGAAGTATAGTATTCCTCACCTTGGGAAATGCATGCAGAAACAGCACTTGAATCACTGTAACTTCGCTGGTCATTATTACAGTAGAATAAAGTTGAAAAAATATCACCTAACCAAGTGTCTGCAGAATAAGCCCAAGATATCAGAGTTAGCAAGAAACATCCCAAGTCGGAGCTTCTCATCTAAGGTATGGACTGTTTAAGTTTACCTATCTGAAGGGCGTTAAGATTAATTTTAGCCTAACGATAATTCTAGTTTGATTTTTGTTAATGTCTACAATTACCTATAGTCAAATTAAGTATAAAAGTATATATTTATAGAGTTCTAATGTAATATATAAAAATAAAGATTCATATAATGACTTACCTTAGAAATTCCTTAGTGTGCGTACCAATGTAACTCAAAGTATAATTCAGTTTTCTAAAATTCCTAGAATATCTTAATAGCTCTTAATACAATCTAATAGTACAGTAATTTTTTCTGAATACCAAATTAGTAAACTTCAGTAAAGGCCATGTACTTGAGTGTTATTTCTTTGCTAAAAAAAAAAAAAAAAAAAAAAAAAAAAAAAAGAATGGAAAGGAAAAGAAAAAAAAAGACTTGCATTTTTTACCACTTGGGTCCTTTAGGAAGATGCTTTCAGACTATTGTGCTTTGGCCAGACCCCAAGCTGCATTCATGACGTCTACCTTGAGAACCCAGTTGCCCTTATATGTAGAATAACACATCTGGGTTTGCCTGGGATGGTCTCAGGCTACACCTGTTGTCCCTGTGTAATTATTAATAGTATCTCCTTTCCTCTCAAAGTGTCCCGGTTAGGATGGTAAATTATATGTTCATCCTACTTGTTTGAGATGGAGTTATTTATTTATACTGCTGCTGCTTTGAAATACCTACCCTACCCTATGCTTGTTATACTTTCAATATTTTATTATCTTAATTTCTGGTTTTAACTGTTTTGTTGCATACTGAGTTTTCTTCTTAACTATTTTTACTTCCTCGTTTTTTACTATAGTTAAAACATACAGCATATAAAATTTGCTATTTAAACCCTTCTTACGTGTAATTTAATAACACTCATTTCATTCACAATGTTGTACAGCCATCACCGCTATCTCTTTCCAAAACCCTTTCATCACCCAAAAACATATACCCATTAAGCAATATCCTACCTTTTTTGAGCCCCTGGTAACCTTTAACCTACTTGGTCTTTATGAATTTACCTATTGTAGGTAATTCAAATATAGTAAGTAGAATTATAATATTTACCCTGTTGTGCCTGTTTTATTTCACTTAGCATAATATTTTTAAGGTTCATTCATGTTGTAGCATATATCAGAACTTTATTCCTTTTTTGGCTGAATAATATTCCATTGTATTTCTATACCACATTTTATTTTTACATTCATCTATTGATAGACACTGGAGCGAGTTCTCCTAATTTTAGAAATTATTTTTTAATATTATTTTACTTGGTTTATCTGTGTTTTTTATTTAATTATTGCTTTTTAAACTAATACTTATGGGTTTTGTGTGTGATTTTTTTTTTTTTTTTGCATTTAACTTTTTATCAGTTAGTTCCTAAAGTTTTACTCCTTGCATTTTTTTATTTCATGTTTTATCACTCCTTACATTTTAGTCTTTCAAATTATTTTTTTTATAGCATCTTAATTTAGCACTTCAATTCTTTCTATAAATTTTTTTTTTTAAGATCTAATTGGCTTTATTAGGTAATTCATGAAAGGGACAACATCCCATCTAGCAACTGTTCCCTCATGCAGGAATTCTTTATGCCTTTCTTTTATTTCATTTTTACCTTTTGTGTGTACTACACACACGTAACGTTAGCATACTTTAGAAAGATAGACTTAAATGTTACTGACACATTTTAGACCTTTAGATCATTTTATTTTGTATGTGTTTAGAACATTGTGCCATCTTGTGCTTTTATGTTGAATCTTAGTTTATAAATAGTAGGCAGGAATTACCGTCAGAGTTACAGCTGAGACACTAGGTCACACTCTATGCAGGAGATTGACTTTTTCCCCTCTATTTGTTCCTGAAGCAACTTGTCAGTTCTCTTCTGCAGATACTCATCACCTAGAAACTTTATCTTGATTTGATGACTCCAAGTTAAGGGGCTCTTTTAGTAATTCTTTTGCCTAATAAATTGGTCCTGCTTTCATATGTCAACCATTCCCTCTTAGAGAAAGGATACTATCTAAAAGCTTTGATCTCTGTTCTCAATGGTCACTGGGACCTGGAGAAGCTGTGAAGAGACCTATAGCCAAGAAGGCACATTTCCTTTCAACGAGCATTTACTCAGTTTCAATTTTGTCCACTCTCATGGGTGCAATAAAGAAGAAAAAGTAGTTAGTTCCTATAGACAAAACATATTTGCTTAAAGTACAGACCTATTTATATAAGGTAATTTTTCCTGGCTTGCCTTCTCCCTTACAAACCTATCCTCACTCTCCTTTTCTAACTTCTCTTTCATATGACCTCTAAATTTTGGGGTTTCTCGGACCTTAGGCCTGGCCCCTTCTCTCTTCTTAAGTAATTTTACCTCTAGTGGATTTAAATGCCATAGCAGTTACCTTCCTTCCAAACTCTCCTTCGAGCTGCACATCGTGGACATCACTTTTTCAAACTGTGTCCACAGTTGAACTTCAACTCTTCCAACTCCGACTGGACTCTTTCTGTGCTCAGTTACTCAAGCTGGAACACAGGGAAACATTGTTTATCCCTCCTGTTCCCTTACCCTGCCATCACATCCATTAACAGTGTATCCTGAACTAGCTTTGGGATTTTTACCACGAAGGCTATTATTTAATTATTTTAGTCTAATCAACCTGCCTTATCCCAAGAAATAATATTCAGTAAATCATCAGTCTGATGCTATATTCTTTCTAATAAATCATTCATATCCAAGTTATGTATACTATCATATCTGAGATGTTTTCAGAAACACTGCATTGACTTCCAAAATACATATTGAATCTGTTCATGTTTCTCCATCTCTGTCATCATCTCAGTCATCTTTTACCTGGACCACTGGTAAAGGCTCCTAACCAGATTTTTTTCTTGTCTTCTTCCCTTTTCTTTTCCTTATTTATTGGTGTGTGTGTGTGTGTGTGTTGTTGCCATCCCCCATTCTCCCTTTTGTCCCGTTCCACCCAGCCCCACCCCACCCCAGGCCTTTACCACATTATTGTCTGTGTCCATGGCCTATGCATATATGTTCTTTAATTAATGTCTTTCCCTTATTCTTTTGCTTGTGGATATCCAATTATCCCAGCACCATCTATTGAAAAGATCTTTTCCCATGGAACTGTCTTAGCACCCTTATTGAAAATCTGTTACTAACCATAAATCAAATATAAATCTGGGAGGCCTCAGCATATAAATAGCATTTAAAGTCGTGAGGCTAGATGAGATAGATCACTAAGGGAATTAGTGCAAACTGCAGTCCAGGGAGTGCCGATGTTAAGCCAGAGAGCTAAGAAGGAACCAGCTACAGAGACAAAAAGGGCAGAATTAGGAGCAAAGCAATGAGAATGAGGTGTCCTGGGAGCCAAGTGAAGGAAAAGGAAGTGTTCATCTGTGCCATGATACTGATAACTCAAATAGTGTAAATACTAGAATTAACATGTGTCCTTTCTTTGCAGTACAGGGACTGCAATGGGTCATCAGTGATTTTGACATGAGCAATTAATAGAATGAGAAGGGCAGACATCCAGAGAAGGGGGAAGAGAGCAATTGGGGGCAAGGAGCAAGTGAAACAATTACTTTGTTTCATTTTAACAATCACTTTTGAATAACAATATAAACAACAAATATAACTAGATATTTTAAATGAATATAATGAAGATTCTTGGAAAGTATTTCAGATACTTAAATAAGATGTGTACTGCCCCATCGATATGGCTCAATTGGTTGAGCCATTATTCCCATACATAAGGGGATGTGACTTCCATTCCAGGTCAGGGCAGGTTGAGGGTTCGATCCCTAGCTAGAGTATGTGCAGGAGGCAACTGATTGGTGTTTCTCTCTCTCTCCCTTCCTCTCTCTAAAAACAGTAAAATAAAATGTGTACTAATATGAATATGCTTTGGGTATGTTATTTACAGATTTGCTATAGTCCTGTTTCAAACAATAGGGAGACCATTTATCAAGTCAGGGAAATTCTTCTCTATTCCTAATTTAAGGTTTTATTATTTTTTTTTAAAGTGTGGGGTTTTTTCCTCCTGTTTTAATTGAAATTTCCCTAAGATTTATCTCCTTTATCTGTGTTATATTTCATTAATACATTTTTCTAATATTGAACTATCCTTTTACTCTTAAATCCTTCTTGGTCACTCAGGGTTTCATTACTGTTATTGTTTTTGTTTTGTGCTATTTATTTATTTAAAATATATTTTTTATTAATTTCAGAGAGGAAAGCAGAGGAAAGATAGAAAAATTAATGATGAGAGAGAATCAATGATTGGCTGACTCCTGCATGGGGATCCCTACAGGGGATCGAGCCGCAACCCAGGCAGGTACCCTTGCCCAGAATTGAACCTGTGACCCTTCAGTCTGTAGGCCAGTGCTCTATCCACTGAGCTAAACCATCTTGGGCATGTTTTGTGCTTTTTAAAAATACATTGATTTATTTTGGATTTGTAAATCTATATTTTATAATAATATTGATTTTTATCATATATTGTGATTGTCCAGTTTTAGTTTCAAGGTTATCTTAGCCTGATAAAATCAGTTGAGTAGTTTTAAGTAGTGGGCATTTTTTTTCATAAATAGTAGTTGATATATGAAAAGATTATCTGTGCCTTGAAGATTCAAGAAAGCTACCTTTGAAAGTATGATTTTATCTATGTTTTCTAATGTAGTGGCATAAAGAACTTTGTGATTTTTAAAAATCTGTTATATCTCTGATAATGCGGTTTGTCTTTTTTAAGCCACAGTTGCTATACATGTCTTTTTTGTTACATTTTTCAAAGAACCGATTTTGCATTTTGTTGATCCTCTGTTTACTTTTATCAATTTCATTAAACAAATTAATTTTATTTCTTTTCTTTTACTCCCTTTAGGTTTACTCTTCTCTTTTTTATTCTTAAATTGAAATGCTTTGTATCTGCAGATATATAATATATTTTCCCACTATTATTGATGCTATCTATGCTAGATCATTTTTATTAAGGGGTTAAATCCTTGTTCTCTCCATTGTTAAATGAGCGATATTCCCTTTGCAATACTAAGTAATCAGTAGGGTAATACTTTGGTACTGTACAAATATTGTATTATGCAACATAATTTCGCCTAATGAGTTTAACAACCACTAATGATCTTTACCCTATTCACTTCTTTCACTGGGGCTTGTTAATGATTTTCTAATTCTATTATTCTTTCTACATTTATTAGCTTGTATAATTTCATAAAGAAGAACTTCTTTTTTTGTTGAATCCTCTCTTTATTTTAATTTAGTGGGGAGGTTTTTCTGCTTGTTTTCAAGTTATTGTGAATTTTTTCAGTGTATATAATCAGTTAGAGTCATTATTCTTTTTGATGCTCAAATTGTCATTGTGGCTAGTAGAAACCCCTTCAAACTGGCCCTTTGACAAGTCTCCAATAATCTGTGAGCATTTCCTTGCTTTCTGGCAGATGTCCTAAGCCTACTTTTTCTTCTTCCCTGCCCAAGACTTGGAATTAGCCATTTATTAATGGCACCATCCTAACTAAAAGCAGTCTAAGTATCCTTCCACAGTGCCATTTTTCTATCTTTAGAGTTAACCATTTTGCCATAAGGAAAGTGGTTTTGTGGTGGGCCACCTGAGAAATGGGGAGCAGTGCTTCTTTTTCCACTAATGGCATGATAATGTATAATATATGCAGCCTTCTTAAGCTATCCTCACCTCAGCTCCATTAGGTAGTGTATACCCTTGAAGCCAGTAGACTGTTAATGTATTAAGATACTTGGCTAGCCCAGCCAGCTGTGGCTCATCGGTTGAGGGTTGACCCAGGAACCAAGGGTTTAATTCTTGGTCAGGGCAGATGCCCGATTTGCAAGCTGGATTATCAATGATTCTCTCTCATTGTTGATGTTTCTCTCTCCCTCTTCCTTCCTCTCTGAAATCAATTAAAATATATATATATTTTCTTATTTAAAAAAGATACTAAGCTAAATTGGATAAGTTTTACTGCATACCCTAATGATAATGCTAGCTAACACTGAATGCAAGCTTAAGAAACATAATGTGTATTGTTGGGACAATAAAACCAAAACAAGTTGATGTCCTTTATGAATATTAAATAAAAATCTGTTTCCCTGGGTGTAATTATTTTTAGGAATTATTTACAAGGCTTTTGAAAGCTACTTGCCTTTTGTCAAGGCAGTTAAAAATCCTGTTGCCTTCAGAGTTATTTTGATTCAGATGAGCTCAGTTTATTTGGACTTTTGACATAGAAAAAAGCTAAGAATGTAAAGTTTCACCAAGAGAGCAGGTATTGGGCCAAACTCTGTTGCCTTTAGCCTTGTGTTGGCTGTGCCTCCAGCCCAGCGCCCTGACCTAAAATGTGCGAGGAGCTGCCGGGTGGTAGAAACAGTGCACTTCATAGCCACTCTGACACTTTCAAAAGTCCTAATAGGATTAGGGATCAGATGAGCATGTATCCGCAAATGAAGAGGCAGAGCCCATTGCTAAGTTACAGTTTCAGGAGAGATTTCTAGTAATCTTCTGATTGGTGTTTTGGGCGATAATAGAACATTATTGATACAGGTATTTTGCCTCACAACTCTAGAGACTCTAGATTTTGTAAAAATGCAAATATAAATGAAAAATAAACAATGAAGAAGGCCTCCAGCTTTTGGACTTCACATAATTACTCAAGGATAATAATTACAAGACGGAAGTAGAGACTGAGCCGAAACCGGTTTGGCTCAGTGGATAGAGCATCAGCCTACGGACTGAAAGGTCCCAGGTTCGATTCCGGTCAGGGGCATGTACCTTGGTTGCGGGCACATCCCCAGTAGGGGATGTGCAAGAGGCAGCTGGTCGATGATTCTCTCTCATCGATGTTTCCAACTCTCTCTCCCTCTCTCTTCCTCTCTGTAAAATATCAATAAAATATATTTTTTTTTTTAAAAATAGAGACTGAATGATTTAGACTACCATAACAACCATTGTTGCTAATTTGAATCTAATCCAAATCAAAAGCATCTCAGAGCTTCTAAAGGAAAAACTTTGTGAAAATGATTGTTTTTCCATTTAATGTTTTCTATTTGAGTTGCACGTTTAATTTTAGATTGTAAATGCTTTATGATATAAACTATATTTATAGCCTACATTTTCTAAAGTGTTGGTAAAGTACCATGGACACACTTGTGCAGTAAATATTTATCAGCTGTTGGAGGTCCTTACCAAAGGCTTAATACCCCTCTGGCACAAATCACTGTACAGTTGTCATCTTTGGCAGGAACTTGACAATGAAAATCTTGGCTAGGATTCTTTTGCTTGAGGCAAACCTATGAATGTTAAATTATTAAACTCTTTTTCAACAACTGAGGTTTTACCTTATATAAATGTCAATACTTTATATGGTATTTGTGTGCTAACTAGAGGTCAACTAAAGCTCATAGCTTATTAGATACTCCCAATAAAATAGAGTGCTTATTTAGCTTTCATTGGTATCTCTATTTATGTTCATTAATTTTTCATTACTTTCCCTTGTTCTTCCTTTTATACGGTGAATATATTATTTTTTACTTAAACTCAAAGAAAAGCTCTGTTTTATAAAGGATTAATTCATCTTTTTATCTGATCAACAGTTCTATTTGGGGGACTCTTTATCCCCAGGAGAAAAGAAAATTATGGCTAATGAAGATCCAATGTAGGATAAATTTTTTACCATAACTCTTGCTGTGAATAGTGAACATTTATTAATAAAAATGTCTTACTCTCACATCAATATATCCCTCCGTTTAGGAGATAATTTATTTTATTTTTTATTTTTATTGATTTCAGAGAGAAAGGGAGAAGAGAGAGAGAGAGAAACATCAATGATAAGAGACAATAATTGATTCTTTGCCTCCTACACATCCCCCACTGGGGATCAAGTCAGCAACCCAGGCATGTGCCCTGACCGAGAATCCAACCATGACCTCATGGTTCATGGGCTGATGCTCAACCACTGACCCAGGCAAGAGGTATTATTTTAGTACTGGATAAAATTCAGTAGATTTTTTTTTGTACTTCTAAGTCCTAATAGTTAAATATGTAAGTTTTCATAGGATCTCCTTTACTGCTTAATTTTCTATAAACCTTTCCCATAGTATTGCTGAACATTCTCCAGTGCTTCTTATTAATTCTGCATCGTAAGGTTTTGTCCATTTAAATTAATAGTTTAGCTACATGTATTCACCTCATTGTCTTTGTTTACATTTTTAAGTGAAAAAGAGATCATTTATTGTGCTTGAGAAATGACATTTAGATCTTTGAAAGGCATACTATTTCATAGATAAAGCCCTAATATTGTAGTACTTGCATGAAAAGGAATTAAGAAATATCTTTTAAAAGCCAAGATACTTTCCCCTAGTTTGAAATATTATGATCATATCAATAAAACTTTTTTCCAGGATAGTCTGCCTACTAAACAAGGAAACGAAAAACCCCTTACAGAAAACATGGATGCTTTTGAAAAAGTGAGAACAAGATTAGAAACACAGCCACAAGAAGAATACGAAATCATCAATGCAGAGGTAGAATATTTATGATTTTTTTAACTCTGATATTACCACTCAGGATGTAAATGAACTACCTTGTGATTTATAGGCATAATCCACATCAGAAGTAAACTGCTTTTGGCCTTTAAAATATGCTTAAAAACTTAAAGAACAAAGAATAAGTATGATCCTCAATGTAAATTATAAATGTTAAAACCAAGGTGAATTTTCAAGCATGTTTTGTTAATTGTAGTTTTTAGGAAAAAACAATTCTGTTTTAAATTTTTAAAAATAACTCCAAGCATAACTTCAAATAAAACTAAGTCATATTTCTTTCTTATTAGAAAAGTATTTGATTGCTCTAGCTATATTTTTTTTAATGAAAAGAAATTCACTATAAGTCATGTTGTATGGAAGTCAAATATTTGTTTGACTATTTTATGGTTACTATAATCAATTACATTCAATATATAGATACTACACAGAAGCACTATTTATTCTCTCAGTTTCAGACTGTCTATATCTGTCACCCATGGAAAATAATATGCTTTGAGTAAAATCAAGACCATGAACAGTTGGTGGTGACAGCATATTTGAGAGGAAAGAATCTGAGAAAGTTATTGACTGGGTTTTCAGCCCAATCTGAGCCACAGTCTTCTCACCTACATCATTCTGGACTATCTTCAAGATGCCCCTGATGTCTGTTAATGGAATCCCACTGTAGAGATGTTAGATGTTCCCAAAATACAGCTAAAATACTTTGTACAGTCATGAGAACCAACATAGATTGCATTATGTCTTCTCTTTATTGCCTCTTTCATTTGTGTATAAGAAAATCCTTCAGTGATTATGGACACATGTAAACCATTTCTTAACCACTATGTTGTAAAAAGTGATCCATTTTATAGTTTTTATGTGTTCATTTATAAACTTCAACATGCTTTTATGAAAGATCCCATTTCTTCATCTTGACTAGTTAGAATATTAAACAGTTAATCAAATTCAATCATGCTTGAATTGTTAAATTATTATGTATTATTATTAAATAAACAATTTATTTCTTTTTATTGTCAGATTAAACATGGAGGTTTTGTTTACTACCAAGAAGGTTGCTGCTTGGTGCGTTCAAAAGATGAAGAAGGTATACCACAGTTTTTCCTTTTAGCATACTCTGATGTTTCAGATTTCACATTTTTCATAGGAAATTAGATATTCTCAGTGGCATAGAAAAATTTTTTAGATTATTTCTGAATATTTATTAAATGGCTCTTTTTTAATATCTGGGTTTATTTAGGATATAGTTTGCAGCCATACTCAAAGCTTTGATAGGAAGAATGGAGATAGGAACCAGCATTTTTTGAGCATCTGCTATATCCCAGGTACTGTACTAGGTACAATTAGTCGATATCATTTACATTATCTTTCTAGGTTCTATGTGGTCTTTAAATACTAGGCTATAATGGTATTGAATAATATCACATAAGTTGATGCATAGCATAATATGGACTAGCATAGGATAATATTAAATAACTAATGCCAGTTTCTGTGCAAATCAAGCTGCCATCAATGCTACAGAAACTAGGGTGGGGGAGGGGGGGAGAAAGAGAGAGAGAGAGAGAGAGAGAGAGAGAGAGAGAGAGAGAGAGAGAGAGGGAGAGATGATTGCCTGCTGCATTTGCCCTGACCAGGAATGAAACCCACAATTCTTTTTGTGACACAAGACGATGCTCAACCAGCTGAGCCACCCAGCCAGGCAGACGAATGCTAATTGAAGACATTGAAATACAATTTAAAATATTTTTAAGTACATTTGTGGCATTATCTCTTTCATTTTTTTTCTTTACGCAGCAGACAGTGATAATTACGAGGTTTTGTTCAATTTGGAGGAACTTAAATTAGACCAGCCTTTCATTGATTGTATCAGAGTTGCTCCTGATGAGAAATATGTAGCTGCCAAGATAAGAACGGAAGATTCTGAAGCATCTACCTGTATAGTTGTGAAGCTCAGTGATCAGCCTGTCATGGTAGCTTCTTTTCCCAATGTGTCCAGTTTTGGTAAGCCACCAACCACAACAGTCTTCCATTTGACAAAGCAAATGTAGAGAATTGTTCACACTTTTAAAACATTTTATTTGCCCATGAGAGTGAATGAAAAAGTGAGTGCCTGATCCATTTACCCCTGTGGTCTCCAGTCCATACTATGTGCCTCTTATTCCACGGACCGCCCATTCTTTAATTTTATATTCGATAGTAAACTACCCAAGGTCACTACCAAGAGAAACTTCGGAGCATGTCGTCGAACTAACTTACTCATCAGTAGAAGTTGTGATATTTTTACTAATAGAGCCAACTTTAAATGTTATCACTGATCATTGAGAAATATCTGTCTATACCTTATTCCCTTTTTCATTTTCTGTCATAAATTTCCCCATTGTTTCATAACTAGATGCTTTTGCAGTGAATTGAAATTATACCCTAATTGATCCTAATATATAAATTTGGTACATTTTAACCTCTCTTAAAATCAGGATGCATTTTATACAATGCTGCCTTACAGTAACTGTCAGCCAGGTGGCAGTCACGATGTCATTGTGTGAAAACTTTCACTGACAGCTTCTGGTAAGATCAAGAAAACCCCAGCTTTAAAGGATATCTGGTAGTCTGAGATATCCTGTGATTTGAAAGCAGACAGAAAACATTTAGGTATGAGAGAAAATGATCTAACATTTCCTCATACTTAAAGTCTTCCCTAAATAATGAACATCCATTCCTCTCCTATTTAGAAACTTTAGTGTCCTGAGACTGATAACAACTTGAAAGTTTAGAATTGAGGTAGTATAATATTTTATTCTCTGGAAAGCTCTTAGGTTTATATAACACAGGTTCTATACAGTTAAACCTATGTTAGATTTAGATTTCCAGGGATAAACTTACACATCTCTTTTCTTTGGCACTCAAATTGAGAATGCACTGTGCCTTTTTTAAAATATTTTTATTGATTTCAGAGAGAAAGGAAGAGGGAGAGAGAGAGAGAAACATCAATGATGAGAGAGAATCATTGATTGGCTGCCTCCTGCACATCCCTCACTGGGGATCGAGTGTGGGCCCTTTGTTCTGCAGGCTGACATTCTATCCACCAAGCCAAACCAGCTAGGACTGTGCCTTTAAAAAAAAAAAAAAAAAAAATGTAGCCAACACCGGTTTGGCTCAATGGATAGAGCATCGGCTTGTGGACTGAAAGGTCCCGGGTTTGATTCCATTCAAGGGCATGTACCTTGGTTGCGGGCACATCCCCAGTAGGGGGTGTGCAAGAGGCAGCTGATGGATGACTTTCTCTCATCGATGTTTCTAACTCTCCCCCTTCCTCTCTGAACAAAATCAATAAAAAATATTTTAAAAAAAAAACAAAAACAAAAACTGTAAGTAGTTGGCTATGTATAATTCTTTTTTTTCCCCCCTCCCAGAATGGGTAAAGGATGAAGAATATGAGGATGTTTTATTCTATACCTTCCAAAGGAATCTTCGCTGTCATGATGTGTATCGAGCCACTTTTGGTGAAAACAAACGTAATGAACGTTTTTACACAGAAAAGGATCCAAGGTACTAGAATAATACAATTAAATCTTTTTCTCCAAACTATTTCTCCATTTATCTAAAATGCTGCTCTTGCCGAAACCTGTTTGACTCAATGGATAGAGCGTCGGCTTGGGGACTGAAAGGTCCCGAGTTCGATTCCGGTCAAGGGCATGTATCTTGGTTGCTGGCATATCGATGTTTCTAACTCTCTATCTCTCTCCCTTTCTCTCTATACAAAATCAATAAAATAAATAAATAAATAAACTGCTGCTCTTGGTTGACTTAAAATGTTGATTTTGGCTGGAAACAGATAAAATATTGTAATTATTCTTTTTGTAAGTTGTTTAGATTCAAAACTGGAGTTTAGGCATATTCAAACTCCAGAGTAAACACAAACACATCATTAGACCACAAATGATGAGTTACTCACATTCTCTCTCGACTGTGACACATGAGAGGGGTTGTTGATTGAACATTTAAGAGGGTTGTCATATAGCAATTATAAATCTCTTGTAAGTCAGATACCATGGTATCAGAATTCACTACTCATTTCATAGAGATTATCTGGATTTTAAATTGCTTTGCTTTGAGCCATGATGGCCATTGGTCCTTCCCTGGTACTTTGATAATTTCTTATTAAAGCTGCTTGTCTTTATTTCCTTGTAATTTCCTGGACTCATGCCCTATCTTACCACTTAAGCTTGGAAGGAAATGATAGTAAATGATTCCTTGTAATTGAGAAACAATTTTTTTTCTTAACACAAGGATCCTGTCACTTTGTACATCATTAAACAATATAGTTTGGACAATATCTGAACAGATTTTGCAAGGAAAAAAAGGGGGGTTTAAAACTAAATAAATTTATGCCAGTGAAGTCAATATCAAAAACAAGAAAATTTACTCTTCATAAGAGTTGCAAGGATCTTAAAGGAAATCTTAAAGAGAAAGAAAATCTTGTACAACTCCTAATTAATAGTAGTAATCTTAGGTCTAAAGGAATTACATTATTCCAGGCCATAGAACTAATATTCTTGGTCCAGTGATATAGTCATTGTTTTTTTTCTGATAATGATTATTTTAATGAGATTGATTTTTAATTATCATAAAGACTGTGTAACTAATGTTTGGGAAGATATTGATATTATGTGACATAAAAATATGCAGAATCCTGCCATGGCTGGTGTGGCTCGGTTGGGTGTCATTCCATAACCTGAAAGATTTCAGGTTGATCCCTGATCTTGGTCCATACAGGAGGCAACTGACCAATTCTCTCTCTCTTTGTCTCTCCCCCCCCCCCCCCCTTTACTCTTTCTCTAAAATTAATCAATAAGCATGTCTTCAGGTGAGGATTTTTTTTAAAAAGCAGAATCCTTAATTGCATGTATATTTTAATTACATCTATTTAAAAACATGAATGAAATACAAATAAACCTTAAAAGAAAAAAATAGAAAAATAAAATAATTAAAATGTGTTAGGTTAGTGGAATTATGAGGAATTTTCTTCCCAACTGTTGATTGGTTTGTTATATAAACTAGAAGAAAAAGAAATTCAGCATGAATACAGAGGAAAAACAAAGTAACTGAGTCTCTTTCTAAACTTATCTATTCTAATAAAGGAGTAATATGCTAATTAGACCTGATAGACTGCATGTCTTCCAGACATCATTCTGGACGTCCTTCCTGACAAAGCCGAGGCCTGGGCGGCACCACCTGGGTTTCTGGGTGCCTGCCCAGGCGAAGCCAGCCTGAATCCCAGTTGCCTGTGGTGGCCAGAGAAGGGTAGCTTGGGTCTCAGGTGCAGGGGCCAAGGCAGAGACTGTTAGGGGCAATCAGGCAGGCAGGTGAGTAGTTAGGGGCAATCAGGCAAGCAGGCATAGGCAGTTAGGGGCAATCAGGCAGACAGGCAAGCAAGCAGTTAGGGGCGACCAGGCAGGCAAGCAGTTAGGGGCATCAGGCAGGCAGGCAGAGGCAGTTAGGGACAATCGGGCAGGCAGTCGAGCAGTTAGGAGCCAGTGGTCCCTGATTGCGAGAAGGATATTTGACTGCCTGTGGGATTGGGCCTAAATCAGCAGTTGGACATCCCCTAAGGGGTCCCGGATTGCGAGAGGGTGCAGACCAGGCTGAGGAACACACACACACACACACACTGCACAATTTCATGCACCTGGCCTCTAGTAATTACATATTCCTCTAGGAAGTTTATAGCCCTATAATCTATTAATGAGATTGAGAGTGAGATGATGTCTGTACTTTACCTTGAAATACATTCAAGAACAGATGGATAGATGATGCATAGATATGTGATGTTGATATATAGGTATTTACCATACATTTCTTTCAACTTTTCTGCATGTTTGAAAAATGTTCATAATAAAATGTTAGAGAAAATTTATTTTTAATGTTTCTAGAGGCAATGAGAAAAATAATAGCAGGATTGTAGTTTACAAGTAGAATTCATAAGCAGTTATTTTTATTTTCTATCTGCATTTTAATTAATATATATACTGACCACCTGTAAGATACTGTCATTAACAAGGTAGCATGCACTTGAAATTTATTGAATTTTCATCTTTTTCTTTCTTTCCCTCTCTTTCTCTTCTCTCTCCCTGTGTATGTATGTGTATAGCTTTTTTGTTTACCTTTATCTTACAAAAGATAGTCGTTTCCTCACCATGAATATCATGAGCAAGACCACTTCTGAAGTGTGGTTGATAGATGGCCTAAGTCCTTGGGATCCACCTGTACTTATCCAGAAGCGAATACATGGGGTCCTTTACTACGTTGAACACAGAGATGATGAACTATACATTCTCACTAATGTTGGCGAGCCTACAGAATTCAAGGTGATACCCTATTTCCTTAGCTCCATTTGGGAAGTGTCACACTTCCATCAGCAACATTTCTTGCTCTAAGAGTTCATTGTTTCATAGGCTTTTGGTAAAGTGTAGAAATTGGTGCTACCATCCTGTGTTTAGTCAGTCCCATTTGAATTGTTCCAAAAGGGATAATAAATGAAGCATACTCTATCCTGATTATATCAATTACCAAAGGCAAACCTAGTAGCTTAAAATAACAAAATTTTGCTCTGGCTGGTTTGGCTCAGTAGCTAGAGTGTCAGCCTGTAGACTGAAGGGTCCCAGGTTTGATTCCGGTCAAGGGCACATACCTTGGTTGCAGGCACATCTTCAGTTAGGGGTGTGCAGGAGGCAACTGATCAATGTTTCTCTCTCATCGATATTTCTAAAACTATTCCTTTCCCTTCCTCTCTGTAAAAAAATAAAATAAAATAAAATCAATAAAATATATCTTTAAAAAATAATAAAAAAATAAAAGAGCAGAGTTTTATAAATTCATGATTTTGTGAGTTAGCAATTTGGATTGTTCTCAGCTGGCTGTTCTGTCAGTATCAGTGAGGCTCACTGGTGCCTCCATAGTCAACTGGATGTCAGTACCCTCACTCAAATGTCCATTGGTTGGCTATCATTCAGCGGTGATGGTCACACTTCAGCCCACATGCAGTTAGCTCGTCATAAAACAGTGAAGAAGACTGTGTCTAGTTTTCAGTGGTTTCATCTATGGCTTTGGATTTTGTAGATAATCATGTTCTGTTACCTAGATCTCTTCTTACTTTGTTCCACACAGCTAATGAGAACAGCAGCTGATACGCCTGCAATAATGAATTGGGACTTATTTTTCACAATGAAGAGAAATACCAAAGTCATAGACTTGGACATGTTTAAGGATCACTGTGTTCTCTTCCTGAAGCACAGCAATCTGCTCTATGTTAATGTGATTGGTCTGGCTGATGACTCAGTTCGGTCTCTGAAGGTATGTTTAATTATTAAAAGACAATATCATTAATCAAAATACATGCAGTTAAGCTTCACCAGAGCATCAAATTTTTACTAATATCAATGTACTTTTTCTTAAAGAATTAATTTAAATGACTAGGTCTTTATCAAATTTAAGAGGTAGGTCTCTTTCTATAGATCACCTATTTCTATAGCTTTAGATATAGTAATAACTCAGGCCAACTTGGCAGCTAGTGCCAACCCCTGCCTGCTGCTTCGTCCCACACCCCCAGTAGAGTTAGTGCCTACTGTGTTTGTGCCACACTGCATGCTTGCATCTGCATCATCTCTCTGCCATGTTTCTCACCAGCGCATAAGGAAAAGTGACCTTCGATTTCTTTCAATAAGGGGTGGCAGTGGTCTCCACTACAACAGCTGTGATGCTGGCACATGTCCCTGGCAGGCTGACTCACTGGTTTTGCCTGTGGCTGCCAGGAAAGACAATCTGCCTCCACAAGTGAACTTACAGTGGCACCCTGAATGCCCAGTATTAAAGCCGCATTAACCTGTGAGTTAAGACACCAGACACTGAAGCGCAGAGGAGAGGCCTGCATTTTCCTTAATATGGAAGGAGTTCTGGAGCCAATTGGCCAGTAAGCATAGACCACTTACACCTCCCTAACTGCAGTGTTGTCGCAATTTCTGTTAAAATGCAATTCCTGGAAATTCACCGGGAATTGAACTTCTATGCGCAGAGCACTGTATGGGGCACTCTAGAGTGGAAAGACAGCAGGACAAAATATCTAGCCTTAAGGAGGATACAGTTAATCATGAGCTTCAACTAATATAAAGAGCAGGTAGAATAAATGGTTTAAATAAATGGTGTCAAGAATGAAGGAGATATAAAATCACTATTAGGATACACAGTAATAGTTGTTACAGGCAAGATCCAAAGAGGATAGACAGGAATTTGATGGGTAGAAAGGGAAATGGTATTCTAGGATGAGGACATCTATCAAATGAAGCACTAAGCTGGAGTAGCTCAGAAAATGTTCAGGAAACTGCTAGTAATTCTGTTTTATTATACAGTAGATTTATGGGGGATGACGCTATGATTTGATTGTCACAGTAATGAATTTATGCATAAATTATGAAGAGAGGAAACATGAAATTTGAGGGTAGGAGAGTGATTTGAGGAGTGAGTTATCTGGTAGCCACATTAGGACACACTGAAGCAGCAGGAGATAAAAGGCAGGGAGATTAGTTTTAAGATTTTTATAGTTGTATAAAATAAGAAATTACCAGGCCCAAAATTTTCTAGCAACCCCATAAAATCAAATTATCAAATGTAATGTCTGATGTCTTAGAGGACTTGTCCTAAAACACAAATGGTGATTTTACTTCAGCAAATTTTTATTGGTTTCATCTACTAGATTCTTATTTGCTGATTGAATTCTAATTCACAATCTCTGTGAATACAAATGGAAGAAAATAATTTCTAGCAGTGCATTTATAACACAACATTCTGTTAAGAAAATTAGGAATGTAATGAGTTGACTCTGTTATAATAAGATTTGACTTTTAGGTAAATATGACCTTTTATATTTTTTGTCAGTATTCTTATTTTCCATGGATATAACTTCCATTAGAATAAGCATCATGTGTTTAGTTTATTCTATTTCCTCTGCTTTATTCCCTAACCCTCCCAACCTGTAGGACCTCTTATGCCATGTATAATGTTCTGAGTCAGTATCACATGGAATCAGGTACTGTATTGTATGGCAGGTGCTAAAGAGGATTTCGTAGATGAGAGCCTTTTCACAAACTGCATTACACTGATTGATATGCATAGGCAGCACCATATACAAAAGACAAAACTTTTGGGCCAATTTTCTTCCCGCTTTTAAGATACAATTATTCTTGGGTGCTGTCTATTAATATATATGGTAGATACTATGGGCTTATCCAAGTGGGAAATGTGGCTTAAGATATTCTTGAGATCATTAATACCTTATTTCTGCATCAGCTGGACAGACTTTAAAAAGTCTATAGCCGCCGAAACAGGTTTGGCTCAGTGGATAGAGCGTCGGCCTCCAGTCAAGGGCATGTACCTCGGTTGTGGGCACATCCCCAGTGGGGGGGGTGCAAGAGGTAGCTGACCGATGATTCTCTCTCATCGATGTTTCTAACTTTCTATCCCTCTCTCTTCCTCTCTAAAAAATCAATAAAATATATTTTAAAAATAAAAAATAAAAAGTCTATAGCCTTGGAACAGTTATTGTTATAATTAAAACTCTAACTTTGATCCATTAGTTTAATACACCCAAAGGACTTATTGCTTTATTGGAACCACTTGGTGTAAAACTAGAGCAACTTAATATGTGGATCACACAGAAACTTTTAAAGTCACCAAAGGACAGAACTTGTGCCTCTCAGAGCCGAGGACCCTTGTCCCCTCAGCCTGAGGCCTCGTTGCAGTGTTAACAGTGGTGCTTGTTTGTTCCCTTCCCACTAAGGTCTCGGTTTGCTCACTCCATTCATGCAACCAGATTTCCCAACTTTCATGATTACACTTTTCTTTCTGGTTATGGCTTGCATTTAGATACATTGTCCTTGAAAATAATCCTCAATCTGAGGAGAATAAATCGGGAACTCTTATAAAGAAATATTGCAAATGTATGTCCTTATTAGTTTCAGGAAAATAGATTCTTTGGATTAATTACAAGAAATTTGCTCTGTAAACATAAGCTCTTTGGCTGTAGTTTCTACAATTTAAATGGTGCACTCTCTATGCACACATCCCCCACTTATCCTTTCTGAATAGTGCCCACCAGTGACTTTGCTGGGCCAAGACCTCTGATTTTCTAAGGAATTTGCTCCTTCTACAATTACTCAGGAAAAGAAAGGCAATTTTCTTTTAATGTTCTGACTCCTGGTACCATTTCTAAGACACTGTCAGCCTGCTTACCGGAGTTCTTTAAAAGGTGTAAGAAGGATGTTAGTGGAAGGCTTGAAGCAGGACCCTGCTGCTCCGAGAGAATAAATTTTGATTCCTTTCCTTTTTTTCTTAAAGTTAAGAATCTTAATCATAATAGCTCTGAGTCTTTCAGAGTGAATGTGCAGGAAAGGTTTTGTTCTGCACAATGGTTAGCCTTGGAGCTAAAGTTAGAAACAAATTGTAAATGCTTTAGTGCTGCTGCGCCATTTTGTAACCCAGGAATAATAACTGTCATCACTGTGGCTGTCTGGGCAGCAGAGCATGGGCTGGTGGGTAAATTATTAAAAATACATGTCTGAGATTTCGTGTTCTATGAGGACAGAGATCTTGAAGATGTTGCTTGGTTCTGAATTACTATTTGATTTGCTCTTATTAATCCTTTTGCTGTTATTTTATTGCTCAAGTTTATGCCCCAAAATAAACTTCTTTACTAGAGAGTTCATGTAAATCCAAAATCATGATAAACTATTTTCTATCATTTTCCTTATTTTATTGATCATTGGTATAGTGTTATTTGTCTTTTACTTGAAATGTATTTCGTTGTGCTAAAGTAATCCTTAAATGAAGCATTATATGATAATGGATATCTTGTTTCAAGCAGACCCAGAAATTTAATTAATATACCTAGTGTCTAGATAAAGAGTAAAAATAACTTTTTTTTTTTAGCTCCCTCCTTGGGCCTGTGGATTCATAATGGATACAAATTCAGACCCAAAGAACTGTCCCTTTCAGCTTTGCTCTCCAATACGTCCTCCAAAATATTACATATATAAGTTCGCAGAAGGCAAACTGTTTGAGGAAACTGGACATGAAGACCCAATCACAAAGACTAGTCGTGTTTTACGTGTAGAAGCCAAAAGCAAGGTAAGTCTTTGTAATCTCCACTGTCAACCCCCATTTACTGCAAGCCTACTGGTTGTCAAGTATTGTGCAGTTGTTGGGTATACAGCAGTGGTTCTCAACCTTCCTAATGCCACGACCCTTTAATACAGTTCCTCATGTTGTGGTGACCTCCAACCATAAAATTATTTTTGTTTCTACTTCATAACTGTAATTTTGCTACTGTTATGAATCATAATGTAAATATCTGTGTTTTCTGATGGTCTTAGGCGACCCCTATGAAAGGGTCGTTCGACCCCCAAAGGGGTCACAACCCACAGTTGAGAACTGCAGATCTAGAATAAGAAGAGTGCTCCAAAGTGAAGTTTTCAAATGAGGATGAAAGAAATGGGGAGGGTGATTTGGTTATTTTCTTTTTCTTGTTTAAACTGGTGCTATTTCATTAGTTCCTGTAGGCAGAGTGAGAACCAACTTTCTCCCACCTTTTTATTGTGAAAGAAAAATCAGAAATCATTCAGATTATCTTCATTTTACCTGTCCCAGAGAGTGCCTAGTTTTAATGAATTGGTAGTGATGAATGTTAACTAAATTGGAGAATAGTTACTTGTCCTAAAAGTAATTTCTGTGTTAAAATTTACAAAACTTGCCCAAGCCGGTTTGCTCGGTGCACAGAGCATCGATCTGCAGACTGAGAGCCCGGGTTCGATTCTGGTCAAGGGCGCGTACGCACCTCGGTTGCAGGCTTGATCCCTGCCCTGGTCGGGGCACTCGATGTGCACATCCATGTTCTCTTTGTCCTCCCTTCTGCTCTCTCTAAAAATCAACAGAAAAATATCTTTGGGTAAGGATTAGCAAACCAAAATAGTTATAAAACTTCAAATTTTTAAAATAAAAATTTTATTTTATTTGTATTTGAGAATTCTGTCTGTAAAGGATAGAAAATTGAGCTGTTAAAACTTTTTTAGTTCGTCTGTTTGTAAATATTTAAAGATGAGTAATGCCAGTATGTAGGCCAGGTACAAGAAGAATGCTACACATCAGTATGTCTGATCTTAATAGGTACTGGGAAAAATTTACAGTAGTGCTGGGTAGTGAAGAACTTTTAGAATCACTTTATTATCAGGAAAAGCCATTTAATAAAGTATATTCAAGTCATAGTCTTGCTGCTCTTTCTTAGTTAATATTATGGGTCAGTCAAGTAGCTGAAAGTAAGTGTCAAGATAGAATTTAGAGACCATAACTCTTTGTCTTAATTAAAGTTCTGCTCAGTGTCAGTAAGCAGAACATAAAATAGGTGATAAAATGTTTGAAAATACTCTTTTTTACATAGATAATAAATCTTTATTTCCAGGATGGAAGATTAGTGCCAATGACTATCTTCCACAAAACTGATTCTGAGGACTTGCAGAAAAAACCTCTCCTGGTCCATGTGTATGGAGCTTATGGCATGGACTTGAAAATGAATTTCAGGCCTGAAAGGAGGGCGCTGGTGGATGATGGATGGATATTAGCATATTGCCATGTTCGGTGAGTCTGCATATTTATCCTGGCATATGAGTTTAAGAGCACGGTGACAGATGTCCAAAATAACATGAGCAAAATTTTATTTTTTCATTTGTGTTGAATTTATGGATTTCTACACCTATGCTGGCGGTGGAACTTGGTAACATTAGTTGAACCAAAAAACAAAAAGGTCCATTTTTTAGGATATTGTATCAGACTTTTAGGATTTTTAGAATACTACCTGTCTCTGCTTACTTGGAAACATTATTTCCATTTAATTCTCCCTAGTTTAGGTTTTTCTAAAATAGCCTCTGAAACTGAACTCTTTTTTTCCACTCTAATTTCTATTTTGTTCTAGCTGTTTTCAAGACACAAATATTATTGTGTCTCTGCTTAAAATCCTTCACTAACTCCCCATCTCCATAATAAAGTCCAGATTTCTCAGTATAGTATTTAACAACCTGATGATCTCTCATCTCTGTACAGACGTCCGTTATCACTGCCCACGCATGTCCTATGCTCCCACTATCCACTCCTCCACAGCCAGCCTTGCTTGTCCTTCCAGGCGACAAGCTGCTTTCCCTCGGTGACCTGGCTCATGCAGGGTCCTGATGTCATCCTTTCTTTCTTTTTCTCTGGGAACTTACATTCTTCCTTCCACTTATGAATTATCTCCATGTTAAGCATTTGTGTTCCTGACACATGGATGTTCTTTCTTCCACTTCTGAGACACCTTTTAAATCAGTGGTTCTCAACCTTTCTAATGCCTCGACTATTTAATACAGTTCCTCAGTTTGTGGTGACCCCCAACCATAAAATTATTGTCGTTACTACTTCATAACTATGATTTTGCTACTGTTATGAATCATAATGTAAATATCTGTGTTTTCCGATGGTCTTAGGCGACCCTGCTAGCAGTTCTCAACCTGTGGGTCGTGACCCACAGATTGAGGACCGCTGCTGTAGAGCCTAAGACCATCGGAAAACACAGATATAACATGAGGAACTCTATTAAAAGGGTCATAGCATTAGAAAGTGTTGAGAACAACTGCCTTAAATACATTTGTGTAATAGCAGCTACCAGATTTCTTGGTAGCTGTTTTCGTTCCCCACAAAATTATGATCTTCTCTGGGGCAGGGAATGTTTGCTTATTTATATTTTCAAGGCCTGCATTTAGCACAATGTCTGGTAAATACTAGGCAGGCACTCAAAACATGTCTGTTGATTGTCTACATCAGGGGTTAGCAAACTTTTTCTCTAAAGAACTAAATAATAAACATTGTAGGCTTTGCAGCCACATGTGGCTCTGCTGCATATTCCTGGTTGGGGTTTTTTCTTCCAATCTTTGAAAACGTGAAAACTGCTTTTAGCTCGAGGGCCATACAAAAACAGGCCTCAGGGTAGATTTGGCTCATGATATAGTTTGCTGACTCCGACCTATATTATTTTTTTTTTTTCTCCACTAAAACCTTTTTGCCATTTAATTTCAGGGGTGGTGGTGAGTTAGGCCTCCACTGGCACACTGATGGCCGGCTAACTAAAAAACTCAATGGCCTTGCTGACTTAGAGGCTTGCATTAAGACGCTTCATGACCAAGGCTTTTCTCAGCCAAGTCTAACAACCCTGACTGCTTTCAGTGCTGGAGGGGTGCTTGTGGGAGCGTTGTGTAACTCTAAGCCAGAGCTCCTGAGAGCTGTGACTATGGAGGTGAGTACACTCTTTCTCTGATTGTTTACAGAATAGGGAGGCATGAAGCCATACTCTGCCCTGAGAAAAAATTCTGATTGACCATAGCATATGAGTGTAACAAAACTTTTCAATTTCAAACAAAGAATTATAGCTCTGAGTGAACTTCTAAAGTTACTTTAATCCAACTACTCACCCTTTACTTTTCCCTAACAGTGTTCTTTATTATGTTTTAAGGATTTTAATTGAAGGATATTAATAGCTATCCCCATTATCTTTGTGTGTGTGTGTGTGTGTGTAAGAACATTTAGAGTTGGTGTAAGAGACAAAGCATATAAGACTCATCAGTTTCGGGAAGTAAGACAGAGTGCCCTGGGACTCTGAAATGCACCAAGTATTTTATTCCATTGCCCGTCAACCTTTCAGTCCTGAATTTAGGGGCTCTCTGGTTTTACTCTATTTTTAATGGTCCTTAGGGATAGTTTTTCTATACTTCAATTGAAATACCTTATTCTGAAAATGCTCGATAGTCTTTTCCTTCTGTCCAAAATTATGAAGTTATAGCAGCTCATCTCTCCTGTTTCTTGGTTAGATGCTTTAGGAAATAAAATTATTAGGGTGAGCAGAGTAAAATATTTTTAAGTTTTTTATTTTGAGTGTGTGGGGTGTATGCTGTGGGTTTGTATTAAATACGTGTTAAATAATTCTGAACTGAACATCTGGCTTTTTTTTAATAGAAATACGGATAGGGGAAGAAAAACCTAACACAAAAATATAATGGAAAAATTATTTACACTATAAATAAACTTCAACCTTTGACTTTTAGAAATTAGGAAGGAAATCAGAAATGTATGTGTAAGGATTTTTACCCCACACTAGAGGCCCAGAGTATGACATTCAAGCACTTGGGGAGAGTTCCCTCAGTCTGGCCTGCGCCCTCTCGCAGTTTGGGAGCCCTAGGCGGATATCCAACTGATGGCTTAGGCCCACTAAGCCATCAGTCGGACATCCTTAGCATTGCCATGGAGGCGGGAGAGGCTCCGACCACTGCCACCGTGCTCACCAGCCGTGAGCCCAACTTCTGGCTGAGCAGCGCTCCCTGTATGGGAGCACACTGACCACCAGGGGGCAGCTCCTGCATTGAGTGTCTACCCCCTGGTGGTCAGTGCGCATCATAGTGACTACTCATTCCACCATTCAGTCATTAGCATATTAGCCTTTTATTATATAGGATTGCTTATAATAGTGAAGAATTGAAACAATTATTCCAACAATAGAGTATATATATATATCCAAAAATATTAGTAGGATCTGTATTAGTTCTTTAAAAAAAAAAAAAAAAAAAAAAAAAATATATATATATATATATATATATATATATATATATATATATATATATAGTTTTTTTTACAGAGAGGAAGGTAGAGGGACAGAGTTAGAAACATCAATGAGAAACATCAGCTGCCTCCTGCACATCTCCCACTGGGGATGTGCCCGCAACCAAAGTACATGCCCTTGACTGGAATTGAACCTGGGACCTTTCAGTCCGCAGGCCAACACTCTATCCACTAAGCAAACCAGAGTTGACTATTAGTCAGTTCTTAATCAGAAGCATCAGAACCGTAGTTCTTCATTAGAAGCACTAGTTCTTAATTAGAAGCACATGACTAATTTAAGCAGAAAAAGGATTTATTGAAGTGTATTGGGTGAGGGTGGGTATGGAACCAGTCTTAGAGGCTGCATAACCAGAAGCATATCTGAAACATACCATTAACCTATCCCATGAAGCTATCACTACCCCCAGGACCAGGCAGAAGTCACTTCAAACTGCCAGGGAACCCCCCACCCCCAAACTGCTCTTAGAAACCTGATATAGCTGTGGCAATCTTGTCAGAATACATTCTCTGTGGTCCCTACTTCTTTGAGTCACTAACTTCCCATTCAGAATTTGGAGCACATTGTGTCTGATTGGTAGACTGAAGTCATGTGGCTACCTCTGCGCTGGAGGGGAAGCTGGGAAAGGAACTACCTAGCATTTAGTACCTCTGTCTCACAAGATTTGGGATACTCTGACTGCAGAAAAGGAATTTAGGTGCTAGGCACCCAAAAAGAATTCCATTTGCCCATGTGGTTAATGTTAATGCAAGAGAAAGCTGAAAAGACCATAAAATTAAGTGAAAAAAAAAAAAAGCAGCTACCATTTTATTAAATGTTTTAACACTATATAAGCCAATGAGTGATTTTTTTCTTCTTTCAAGTTGGATATTTTCTTCAATTTGCATTTATCTTTTATTTTTATGTAAAATGTCCAAATGGTGAAAGAAAATTAATTCATGTATTGCTGAGTTTTATTTTTTATTTTTAATTGTGGTAAAATAACAAAATTTACCTCTTCACCATTTGTTTTGTTAATCCCAAAGATATTTTTTTCCCATTGATTTTCAGATAGAGTGGAAGTGATGGGGAGAGAAAAAAACATTAAGGTGAGAGAGACACATTGATTGGTTTCCTCCCACACCCACCCTAACTGGGGCGAGGGGAGGGGGAATCAAGCCTGTAACCGAGGTACATGCCCTTGACCAAATCAAGCCCGTGATGCTCTAACCACTGAGAAAACTGTCCAGGGCACCTCTTCCCCATTTTTAAGTTACAGTGTAATCCATTCATACTATTGTGCAACTAATTTCCCAGAACTCTTCATTGTGCAAAATTGAAATTCTATACCCATTAAGTAACAACTCTTCAGTTTCCTCTTCCTCAGCCCCTGAGAACCACCATTTACCTCTGTCTCTGTGGATTTTTCTAAGGTACCTCCTAGAAATGGGGTCCTTATGTAATTGGTTTATTTCACTTAGATAATGTCCTCAAGGTGCATTTGTGTTGTGGCATGTGTGAGAATTTCCTTCTTTAATAGCTAGCTTTCCTAATAGATGTGAAGTGGTATTTCTTTTATATAAAAATGGGTGTGTGTGTCTGTGTGTGTGTGTGTGTGTGTAGATATAGATATAAATATAAATATATATATATATATATATATATATATATATATATGAATGAAAGGCACAAAATATGTGAAATCCAATATAATAAAAGGCTAATATGCAAATTGTCCTTTGACCTGGAGTCCACCAGGGGTGGGGCCGGACAGACAGCACCCTTGCATGAATTCGTGCACTGGGCCTCTAGTTAAAATATAAGCCCTTTGTTTTTATATATATATATATATATTTATATATGTCACTTAAGAGGTCTGAACATCTAAAAAGCCGGATATAAAGCCCAGCTGCTGGGTAAGGACTGAGGAATGTGTGCGGCTCCTGGGCTCTACATTGCTTCCTAAGCTCTGTTCTCTCATGTCCACATGTATATTCATAATGTATATTTCCCTGTAACTCATTTTACCAATTTGTTAGTCCCTTTGGCTTTTTTTTTTTTTTTTTTTTAGGCACCTTTCTTGGATGTTCTCAACACCATGATGGATACTACACTTCCTCTGACATTAGAAGAATTAGAAGAATGGGGGAATCCTTCATCTGATCAAAAACACAGGAGCTACATAAAAAGTTACTGCCCCTATCAAAATATTAAACCTCAGGTAGTGAAAGACAGTTACGATATTACTATCTGAAGTGACCAAGTGAAGATGATCGAAAGGACACTTACCTGAGCTCAGGCTAACGAATTTAGTAGATCTTTAGTTGTTTCTACTTATAAAACCCAGACACCTTTCAGCACTGCCGCTGCTCATATTCCATGCTGGTTTCAGTAGGGTCATGGTCTCTCTGGTTGAGAAAATACTATTCCAGATAATGAGTAGTCTAGTACTCTAATACCATAGATTTCTCAAGAATATCAAATAAAGGGGGGAAATGTAACATTGGGGGTTTGGGGGGAATTAGAGGTAATTATTTTTCATAATCTGTAAGGTAGAAAGGGGCCATAAGGAATAATGTACATTTTTTGTACATTCATTTTCTTACAGCATTATCCTTCAGTTCACATCACAGCTTATGAAAATGATGAACGGGTACCTCTGAAAGGAATTGTAAACTACACTGAGAAACTCAAAGAAGCTGTTACGAAGTACGCTAAGGACAATGGTGAAGGTAAGGGACTACTGAGAAGCAGGAACATAGCTAAGCAGACTATTACCTTCAACATACTGCTCAGAGGAATGCATTTCATGTACAGACCAAATTACCAACCTATGATTTGGGACAAATTATTGTTTTTTTCTATGTTGACTACTAATTGAAGCACACATTATAACCGGTTAATAATGCGGATTTTGTAATCAAAGAAAACACAATAATTTCAAGAGAAACATCAAAAGTGCTTTATTCAAAGCAATGTCCATCACTAGCTACACATTTCCCCCATCTTTCAGGTAACTTGTGGATATTGTCTCAATAGAACCTTTCTTGTCTTGAGGCAAACCATTCAGAGACCCAATTTTCCACTCTTCGTATGTTTTGAAGTGCTGCTCAGAAAGTGCATGTGCGGATCGGAACAAGTGGTAATCTGAAGGAGCATGGTCTGGTGTAGACGGCCAGTGGGCTAATACTTCCCAGGCAAGATCTTTTAATATTGGAAGTGTGTGATGGTGCGTTATGATGAAGCAAAATTACTTTGCCATGTCTTCTGGCCCATTCTGGTGGTTTTACAATCAAAGCATGGTTCAAATTGATTATTTATTGTTGGTAACAATCAGTATTAATGTTTAACCTGGTTTTAAAAGCTCTTTTCTTGGTGGAATTGGTAATATGCCACACCTTACTGATCCTACCAGATGCAGAACATTGTCTTCTTTCCGAAGCGATTTGGGCTTGCAGTTCATGTTAATGGTTGATCTGGGTCAACCAATGATTTTGTGCATTTGGGATTCTCAAAATAAATCTACTTTTCATCACCAGTCACAATTTGATGCAAAAAAAGACTTTTTTTCGTGCCCTTGAAGCAACATTTTACTGATGACTTTTCAGTTTTCCATTTGTCTTTTGTTCAGTTGATGTGGCACCCATTTTCCTTCCTTTAAAATCTTTCGCATTGCTTGTAAATGATCAGAAATTGTTTGCTAAGCAACATTTAATATTTCTGCAAATTGGTTTTGAGTTTGACATTTATCTTCATCCAATCATGCTTGTAATTGTTGGTCTTTAAACTTTTTCGGTTGACCTGGACGTTCTTTGTCTTTCACATTGAAACCATCACTTTTCAAGCATTTAAACTAGCGTTCACAAGTATCTTGAGATGGAGCATGTTCACCATAAGCTTCCCGAAGTATACAATAACTTTCAGCAGCACTTTTCTTCAAAATAAAGTAATGAATTAAAACTTCCTGCAAATGCTTTTTTTGCACAAAATTTGACATTTTCAAGCATAAAAACATCTAAGATGTTAACATCTTCAGAAAATTTGACATATGAAGTTTTGAATCTTGCTGTCAATACAATAAAATAGCATACATATCAAATCACATATATAGCAACATATGTATAACTCCCATCTATTGGGAAAAATCTGCATTATTAACCGGTACACTTAGTAATATTGAGCCATTACTCTTAGGAATCTATAAAAAAAAAAAAAACAGGTTCTGAAGTTTTTGCTCTGGAGCCTCAGCGCCCAAACTAATGGCTTTAATTTTCTCTAGATCTTTTGTGTTTTATTAAACAAGAGCGCCTACCTTTTTTTCTTGCCAATACATCCCAGACCTTCAGAGCCAGGGGGAGGACCCATATTCATGTTTCCAGACGGTTGCCCTGTGCCCAGCTCTGTCTCGCCCTCATCACTGCTGTAGTGGGTGTTTCTGGGTCTCAAGACTCTCTCAGACTTCATAGGGCCAGTGGCTTCCTCCTCGGTCACAGCCTTCTCCCTGTGGTCCTGCTCCTGCCGGCCCCCTCCCATCTCCCTGTTGGAAGTGATGGTTCAGGCCTTTTCCTTCTCTATCGTTTTCACAGGTTACTTAGAAAAGGGGGGAGGAGCAGAAATGGGCCAAGAACTTTCTAATTGTTTCATATGTTAACTCTTTCAGGCTATCAGGCCCCCAATATTATTTTAGACATTCAGCCTGGAGGCAATCATGTGATTGAGGATTCTCACAAAAAGGTATGTTGTCCAGCCCTCTCAGTTGACAGATCCTCAGACAGAAGTGTGCTCCACATTTCAGTGGTTGGGGCGGGGTGGACCACATTCAGGTCGGTGACTGAGACCAGGAGGGTGGAGAAGAACACTGAGTCCCTCAGGGGAGCAGGCTCTCTCTAGTGCTTGTGAGCTCTCTTCACGTCATTGAACCTTAATCGGTGACAGCCTTCTGCCTCTGTTGCAAGGAAAAGTGGCCCTGCCATAAGTTGCTGACTTGAGGGTTAGGTGAAGAAGATGGACTGACAGACTTAGACACTGGAGTTTTACTACCAAGGCCTTCCATCTAATTTTTTAATGTGTCTCTTTTAGATTACAGCCCAGATTAAATTCCTGTATGAGGAACTTGGACTTGACAGCACTGGTGTTTTCGAGACTCTTAAGAAATATGTAAGATTCTGAAATTCTGTGGAAATTGGAACACATGGAAATATTTCCTAGTTTTAGCTGCGATTGGGTTAGCAAAAGTGAGATATTTATAAGTAAATGAATAGTTTATTAAAATTTGCTTCTCCTAATTTTGTTCAGTGTATACATCTCACACTGTTCTCTCCTCGGTGTATATGCCCCTTACCTAGGAAAACGGATTTCTAATCAGAGGATGTGAAGAGGGGGGTGAGGAAGAGTTGGTGGCAGTAGAGCACTCCCCTCTCCCCATCAAAACAGCTTTGTGTTTGTTTTACTAAAATTTCATTTGAACAGTTTGCAAATCAAGGTCCTGCCTCTATGCTAGTGAACAGTTTTAGACACTTTAGTGGTAAGTCATGCTCCAGTTTCTGTGCCTGTATTTTGTGGAATGAGAACATTCTTCACATTAAAATGCATTAGATCTTTGTAATAACCTGGGGTCCTGAGGTGTTCTGATGATCTCTATTGATGCCTTGTCAAAAAGTTACAAGTTCCTGCATGTGATAATTTTATTTTAAACATTATTCTTTAAAAACATTTGAGAACCTTTCCTCAAGCAGTTACATTCAAGCTGCAGATATATTTAAGAATTAATGATTGTCTATAAAGTTTGCCCAGCAGTGTGCTGTACACTAAGTTACCGCAAATGCTGAGAGTAGAACGGAAAGCCAGTGTCTTCACCTCCTCCGCAGAGATGTCTAGCAAAGGCTGTGCAGGATGTTTAACACACTGGAGTAGCACGCCCGACTGGAAACAAAACATCTGTCTCTGGCGTCTGCTTGCTGATGCAGGAGAGACTTTGTGTTGTATTCAAAGATGAGTCCTTCTCCCTTGCCCAGTGTGATGGCTTGCGTGTCAACTTCACTTCCTTTCTTGGTGGAATTGGTACTTAACTTTATCCTCACTGTTGTGGGAATGTTTGAAATAATTTCCTTTAGATTTAGCAGTGATGATTCTCCAAAATTCAGAACCACCAGGAAGACTCTGTCTATGCCATTCATTTCTCTTGTGTACACGATATGGTGGCTGTCTGTCCTCAAATAGCAAAACCAGCCCCTGTTGAGGAGCAGCTCATTGGCATGCAGCAAACTCAGTTCTTGATATAACGTTAATGCTGATCTGGGCTGAGACTTTTGGACCTGTTTTTTTTTAAAAAAAAGTATTAAGATAAATGTTTGATTCTCATTTTTTTTAAAATAGCTTTAGTATCAAATAAGAAATTTCCCAAAAAATCTTGCTTCAGTTTGCCCCTTCAAATAATTATCAAGCTGTAAGTAATAATAAACTACTGATAGAAATTGCAAATGCAGGGTTCCACCTTGTCGTTGCAGTATGTACATCATCTTGACCAGAGCTGAAGTAGAGAACAGATTGGACTCCATTTTAGGAATCCCAAAACAATGCCCATGTCAAAGTTAATGGATATTTAACTTGCCTAAATAAAAGTCCCTTCATTCTTTATTGTAACTGGCAGAAAAGCAGCCATGATGGCCACAGACTCAGAACTGCTGGTGAATTCTGTTCCCTTTCATAGAATTGTAGGTATATTTGCCATAATTTCTGCAGACATGTTTTCATGCATAGCTAATGAATAGAAAGTTGCAAAAAAGGATGCAAAGAAAATGCTGCCTAAAATAAAAATCAGTACTTTTTTTAACCATAAGACATACATAATTTAATGTATTTATTTTTTCTTTAACATGTCAAGCATCTTTTGTTATATAATTCCATTAATGTCATTTTAAAGGCAAAAAACTATTCTATTGAATGGTTATACCATACTTAACCTTTCTCTTTCATTTCAGCATTCAAGTTTTTAATATTTTTTTTATATTCATAGTGTGTCCCCTCCCCCCCCCCCCAAATTTGGATCATTTAGGATATACATATAAGAAAGACAATTACTATGTCAAAGAGTATGGACACTTGATACATAATGCCAAATCTTTATCAGAGCTGTTGCCAAATCAGTGATAATGTTCATTTCATTATGCCCCTGCCAGCCGTGTTGACTGGTGGTTTTGGTGATTGTTGTTTGGGCAGGTGCCTAATGTGTAGTCTTTCATGAATATTTAATGGATGTTTAAAATGCATTTATTCTGTTTACCAGGTACAACAGTATTTATGATACATGTATATGCTATATGTATATGACCTGTCAAATTACTATTAACATTTTCTATAGCATTAGATATTGCATGAAAAAGCATAGTTCAGTGCTACTCACATAAGAAGTGCCCGATAAGTGTTAACTATTACTTTTGTCTACTTGATTTACCAGTTACTAGAAGTATGTTGAAGTGTCTCTTGGTAATTGTGGATTTGTCAGTTTCCCTGCATTTCTCACAGTACTTACTTGTTTTATATATTTTGAAGTTATTGTAGATACATAGATTCATGATTTGTAGTGGAATGCTCTTTTATCTGTTTTCTAAAATTTGCCTTTCTCTCAATGCTTTTCATATTGAATTCTATTTTGTCTGCTATTAAATATTTCACACCTGCTTTTGGTAACTTTACTTTTTTAAATAGGAAATGCATGTATACAGTATAAAACTCAATTATAAGAGTATGTGAACATATAAAATAAAAAGGTTTTCTTCAATACCATCCCCTAGTTTCCCAGTCCCTTTCTCAGAGATAGACACTGTTGCAATTTACATATTCTTTCATTTTATGTATCATGAAATAAGCCATTCTGTGCCTATGCAAACATATACTTTTTTCTTCTTACACAAATAGTGGCATGTTACCATTCTTACTTTTTTGTATTACTTAGTACATGTTAGAGGTGGTCTCGTATCAACACACATAGAATCTCCCTTATTCTTTTTAAAAGTTGTATATTAGCCTATTGTGCAGAATTAACAATAAATGATCCAGCTGATTGTTGATACATTTAAATCATTTCCAAAGTCTTCTATTAAAAACAATGCTTCAGTAGAGATCCATGACTCTTTGTTATGTACAAATATTCCTAGATACAGATATTTACAAATAAAATTATTCGGTCAAAAGGTATGCATTTTTTCTTTTGATAAGTATAGCCAGGAGGCAAGCTTTCTTTTTGTTAGCATTTGTCCTCAGTGTCTGTATTTTCTTTTTTTGTTGTTAATCCTCACGAGGATATTTTTCTATTAATTTTTAGAGAGAGTGGAAGGGAGGGGAAGAGACACAGAGAAACATCGATTGGTTCCCTCCCACACATCCCCAACCAGGTCTGAAGATCAAGCTTGCATCTAGCCCTTGACTAGAATCGAACCCGTGATACTTCAGTCCTCAGATCAACACTGTCCAAAAAGCCAAACTGGCTAAAGATCATTGTATTTAGTTCTGGGTCCTTGGGTTTAGTCATGTCTTATGTCAGATTTTGTCTTTAGATTGCTCTAATCTGAGCATTCTTTTATATTTGTGGTCACCATATGCTTAGACATAATGCTATAGCCTAATTTTCTCTTTAACTTACAGACTTTATTTTCTTCCTTTTTGGCTTTTTATTGGACCAATTAGTTATCTTTATGACATTTTTTCCCTTCTAATGTTCTTTGAAACTATACAGTTATGTCTATTCTTCTAATGGTTAACATTAAAATTGTAATAGCCATTTAAAAATATAATGTTTTATATCTTTTCTATATCTGTGCTGTCCAATATGGTAGCCATTAGCTACTTAGCACTTGAAATGTTGCTAGCATGACACAGGAACTGAATTTTTTTAATTTAATAGTCACAGTATTTAGGAAATTTGTTTGCTGAACTTGGCAAATTTGATCACCATAATCGGCAAAAACCAAATGGTGTGCTTTTCTAGAACAGCTACTGCCTGTCAGTGGTGGTTCCTGTCTTCAGTTTCTCCAGGTACACAGGCTTCTCTGCAGCCCACGTTACCCTGACTGATTGAACCCCTTCCTCAAGGGGAGGAAAGGAGGAAGGATAGCTAGGCTTGCTGACAGACCTTCATAAAATTTCCTTAATATCTCAAAGCTCTTGGTCTTTCCAATGAAGAGTTGCATATTCTGTATGATAGTTCAAATGGTGCCAATTTGTATTTTTACAAAAACATGACTTGAAAGCTGTAAGAGAAGTCTATGTGATTGATTTGAAATGTATCAGGCCCTGACCCATGCATCTGGTTGGTTAAGTGCCCACTTGTGCACCAAAAGGTTGCGGGTTCAATTACTGGTCAGGGGACCTGCCCAAGTTATGGGCTTGACCCCTAGTAGCGGGTGTGCAGGAGCAGCCAATCGATGTTTCAATTTCTCACATTGATGTTTCCCTCTTCCTTCCTCTCTCAAAATCAATTTTAAAACGTTTTAAAAATAAATAGCATCAGTTAAGGTTTTAGTATATGTTATTAGCATAGAAACTCATTTCCTGTTTCTGGAATCAGCATGAAATTTTCATTGATACTTACAGCAACATTTACAGTGTAGTAATCTGTATTGGTAGGTAACCAGGTGTGATTGCCTTCAGAAAAACCAGCATTTGAGCTATTGTCCCACTGCATTGGTGACTTTGAGAGAAGGGTATCCTGTGTCAACGGCCACAAAGAGAAAACAGTGGTCAGGTTAATTAAGTGAAATATAATTTGGCCATTATTTACTTCATAATTACTTAATCACCTATACTTGAATTCATTAACATTCAATGCACAACCAGTCTCACACTTTAAAGTGGAAAACAAGAGCTCAGATAGCTCAGTTGGTAGAGCATCAGACTTTAAAGTGGAAAACAGTTCATGGCATCTTGAGTTTGAACAGACTATACTAACTGAACTTTCATACATGTTTACACTCTGCTTTTTTTAAAAATTGAGTAATGGAGAATTTCAAAATGTGCTATTACCAACTCATTTTGTGATATAGTGCTGATATGGTGAATTCACATGTGCAAGTGAGTCTAAATTCTATCCTCTCTATCCAGCCTGGTTAATTGCATTATTTGTGCACACACACACAAATTTAGGAGTTGAAATAGGAAGTTCCCATTTAGAG